TGCTTTCCTTGGTCTTCTTCCCGTTCCTTTTCCCCAGGTGCATTGTCATTCTTTTTCTTCATGTATATTCCTTTCTTTATCTGTATTTCTGTAGATGTAAACAGATTCAAGATCAGCAATGTAGTTTACGTACTCTCTGACATAAACAAATCCTCTCCTCTTTAGCTCTTTCTCAGTATTTTCCTAAAAAGAGATGAAAAGCTTTATTTGTTGCATTGCCCAAAGTTTTACCTGTGCCTTATCCACAGATCAAAGGAAATTGACCCCAAAACCTACCTATGTGATGAGCTTATGCACAAGTATATACAGTAAACTAGTGGATCACAAGTTAATTGCCTTAGCTTATTCTAGTCCAGGTATGACCATACCATTTTGCTCCATGGTGCATATTGCTTTTCAGTTACAAGTGGTGTTGGCTTTCCCTTTTTGGAAGGCATAAATGGACACAAAATTTATTTCCATGTCAGGTACAACTTGAGAAACTTCAAATCGCTTCTGATGTGAGAGAATTGGCTATGTGCAAGGACGTTGTCCAGGGATGCCCCGATGTTTTGATGTTTTCATGTCCTTGTGGGAGGCTTCTCTCATTTGCCCACACGGGGAGCTGGAGCTGACAGAGGGAGCTCATCCATGCTCTCCCTGGATTCGGACCTTCAGTCCTGCTGGCCCAAGGGTCTAACCCAGTGATGGGCAACCTGTTCAGCTTGGTGTGTCAAATTTCACCAAAAAAGTGGGCATAATTCAGGTGGGGTGCCACTTTGAGAAAAAAAACCCCATAATTTTGTGATAGTTATAGTTTAAATAACAAAAATGCATAATTGTAATATATAACCGTATTTAATAACCCAAAAACTAATTATTTAACTTACCTGCTTAGTGACTTCTTTGTTCATCCTTCAGTCGGTTTCTTTTGTTGGTCTTGATATTATTTAACTTGAGTGGGTTGCCGTAAACTAAGATAAGTGAGTGGGAGGGGAAATTCTTTAACTAAGCTGCTTATTAGTGACTTTTTTGTTGCTGAATTTCATTGACTAAATCTTCAATTTAAGGTTGGTATTTTGTACACTTCAAGCCCAAGCAAGTGCTACTAACATCATCTGTCAATCTGTTTCTTTTGATGGTTTCGATATTCTTTAACACTGAGAATAAGGTCTCACAAAAGTATATGGCCGCGTGTCATCAAAAATGGTTACATGTGTCAGTGCTGACATGCATGTCATAGGTTCGCCATCATGGGTCTAACCCATTGTGCCACCAGAGGCTCCTAATGGACACAATGACTTCAGCGAAATGCAGAGCTCAGCCCTGTGACTTTGCATTCATGATGGTTTGGAGACACGTTTAGACATTGATTACCTTGTTAGAGGTGATTCTGAGTTAAAAGAGAAGATCTAATGTAAGGAAAACAGTAGCCTTCGGATGTATGACTTCTAAGTGAGAAAATGAAAGAAGACTGTTGTTCCAAATACATTGCCAAAGGAGCAACTACAATGTCAGGCATGCATGAAAATATTAATGTCTTTAGAAAATGCTTTGATGTTCATATTTTCTGCTGTTAAGCATTCTATGAAGATTGGAAGAAGTTGAAATTAATATCAAACCATTGGAATAATAAGTGGTTTGATGTCAGTAGTGTGATTATCTGTCCATCTATCTTTATTTCTATCTACCTGCCTATCAAATCTACTTTCTGTCTATCTCTGTTCCAAACAAAGATACATGAGTCAAGCTGAGAGATGAACCCAAGATCAGCCAGTACTGTTTGATCCTTTCAGAATTTCTTGGTGTAGATCCCCCTTGCTTTCATGTGTGAAAATATAATATATGGACATACACACAGTTGTTAGTTTAAACTAGAGTAGACATTAAATTTATGTAAATTTGCTTAAACATCAACATATTATTCAGTACTTGATTCAATGGGTACATTTTGTTAGAGATTGACCAAAGACTGGGCATCTCTCAGAATAAGGGGGAGAAATCATAGAATCAGCTCTTCCACATGATCTGGCATTAATTTGGCATGCTTAGTTTGTACATTCTTTTCCTAGTTGACTGTGATGTTGAGACTACTTCCCCGTTGGATTGAGTGTATTAAGCTAAGCATGATTTTCATGGCTTAGCTAAGATTTAAATTCAGATATCCCTACTCCTGTCCAAAACTTTATCCAATGTAACACACACTCCCCTATTCTTGATTTGAAAAGCCCTATGATGATTATGTCCATTGCCATTGCCGGGGGGGGGGGGGGATTGAACCCTTAAATGTATCCGGTTAAAAAAACCCCTGGTTTACTCATGAATTGGCTAACCAGTTAAAATCCATGAGTAGACCAGGGTATTTTTACCTGACACATGGGGGGGGGTTAGAATCCTTAGCCCCCCCCCCCCAGTCTATGGCCATCATTTATGTTGATCATATTCTCTAGGATAGGGGTTCTCAAACTGTGCTCCATGAAACCCTTGAGGTTCCATGAGTGAATCAGGGGCTCCACAGTGTCATACTTCTTCCCACCTCTTACTCTTTCCTCCTCCTCCTGAGAAATGCAGGGAAATTACATTTTGGAGTTGCTGAAACAGCAGCAGGGTCCTCTTGGGGCACAAACACTTTCTTCCCCACCTCCCTTGTTGCCACACTCTTTTTCTTGCCACCCAGGCTCTCCCCCGCCTCCGCCTTCTTTGCTTTGAAAACCTTATTTCTCTCCCATCACTCAGGGAGTGCTTTGATTGTGATTTTCCTGCATGGCAGAAGGGAGTTGAACTGGGTGGCCCATGAGGTTGCTATTATTGTTGTTGTTGTTGTTGTTGTTGTTATTATTATTATTACAAAAAAGGCTGGATGGTCATGTTTTGGGGGCACTTTTATTGTGCTTTTCCTGCATGGCATAAGGGGGTTGAACTAGATGCCCCCTGGGGTCTTCCACTGAAAGTTTATGTTGGTTAAAATTGTTCTTAATTTTTTGTTGTTCTTTCTTTCCTTTTTTAATGCACTACATATGAGATATGTGCAGTGTGCATAGGAATTTGTTCACTTTTTCAATTAGTTCACACAAATACTCTGCCTCTAACCCAGCCCTTCTGTCAAATTTTAAAAAACAATGTGGTCCTTGTGTCCGAAAGCTTGCCCATGCCCGATATATGTACATAATATGTAATATAAGATATAAACATTGCTTGAGGCTCCACGAGAAAGTTTTGCTTCAAAAAGGTCTCCACATATGAAAAAGTTTGACAACCCCTGCTCTAGGGTTCTCAAACCCTCTTTGCTTTATTGTGTTACACACAGATTGTGTATAGATGCAGATTGTTATAAAAGAGCATTTTAAAACGAACATTCTGAAGTCATTTGCTTTTCAGTGATTCTGTAGAACAGAACTGCAATTCTTCTGTAGTTCTAGAGATCCAGCTCCAGATTTTCAAGCTCCTTATTATGTTACACTTTCTTGAGATTTCTCACTAACTGAGGACTTTACCTGACATTCTGTTAATCTCTTGTGCTTTGAAGACCTGCTCAGGGGCTGAGATAAACATAAAATATATGTTGCGTGATAATCTATGCAAACTTCATTTGTCGACTTAGCTTGGTGGCATTGTCTTGAATAGTGGGAAGAGTCAATTTTTGAAAGAAAAATTTTAGTGAACTGTTTTTCTTGTCTGCATCAAACTAGTACATTATAAGCCAAATAGGGATTATAAAAAATAAAACAAACCAAAATCTGTCAGAGTGCCAGTTGATAGAAATAAAGCAAGCATCAGATAATCAGAGAGAAATTCTGAGCCTGTAATGGTTAAAGGTATTTCTTATGATAAATATATTTGCTCTTTCACAAGATGTGACCATTGATTACCACTTTTTATGGGTATCTCTGCACAGCAAACAATATTACAGAAATTTGACTAGAATTAAACCAGTTCCCAGATCCCCTTTAGCACAGTAACTGTTATTTTCAGTAAACATAACATTATGTGTGTATTAGGTGTGATAACATACAGTGGCTGCATCTAGTTATTTGAACACAGAGTTTCTACATGAGTCAGAATAGATTGGGGAAAGATAGAACTTTGTGATTGACCACCAAATTTGCATCTGAAGGGTTCAAGACTGAATCCTCTGCATTGCAAGTTAACAGTAGATAGACTCCTACATGAAACACTGAAGAGGGATCACCATTCAGTGTAGAGATAACAGTAAATGAGATCAACTAGTGCTGGTGTTACTGTGCTGGTATTATGTAAGTTTCATTGATTGAGTAGAGTTTAAGCCATACTGCTCTTCCATATTTACATCAAAACAAACTAGATGCAAATACTGACATGCCTATGTATCTGTGTAGGATAGCAATTGTAGGTGTAGACTCTGCCAAAAAAGGCTATATAACCAAACCTCACATTGCTGTCTTTATATATAGGTCCTTGGAATCAAGGTCTCCATTTTATAGTGCTATAATTCCTTTTTAATCAGCATGATTCTCTCATCCTGGGGGATTATTATCATTTTGTGTCAATAGCATTCCATAGATGTTGTAAAGCAATGCTTCTGGGTTGGGAAGATTAGCCATTTACAAGAAACGTTGCCCAGAGTATGCCCAACTATATATATTCAATCTTATAGGAGGCTCTTTCCATGTCCTGAGGGATAGATTTGCCACTTAGGTAAGGGCAGTTAAAATTCTCAGCAATAGTGTTGTAATGCTTCATCAAAGTATAAGCCCAGGATTCCATTGGAGATTGCAATGGCATTTAAAGTGGAATCATAATGCTATAACTGTGAAGTGTGAAAAAGCCCTATGTTTTTAGATTTCTGTCAACCGAATCAGGCAAGCTGGATAAAAATATTGAAGCAACTATCAACATTTATTTTAGAGAAATTGAATTGTTGAAACTGTAATACTTTAGTTACTTTTTTCAGAAGAAATAAAATTACAAATTAAAGTAACAATGTCTTATACATTTATTTATTTATTTATTTATTTATTTATTTATTTATTTATTTATTACAGATGGCACAAGACCTTTGATCACTCCAGCAGGATCCCCTTTAGTTCTGAATACTGGGGAAGAATTAAAGCTGTTTTGTATTGATGATGGGCCTGTGGCTTGGCATATCCAAAATGCAGACCCATCTGCAAAGCAGAAGCATCCAAGATACCAGGAGATTTACATAAATAAAGTTGGACCCAAAGACACAGGGACATATATGTGCAAGAACAAAGAAGGCTTGAATGACTCCATTTACGTCTTTGTTAAAGGTAAGGTGCTATTGGTATTCTTTTCCCTCTCTCTCCTTTTTACACAGATCTAGGTTTTAGTATAGAAATTATTGGTCTGGTAGCACTGGCTATTAGATTCCATTCATGTATGGTTTGTCAAATACAATAAGGAACATAGTGTTACTTACCGGCACAAAATGCTACACACTCACTTCTGACTCATCACTCTCTAACAGATAAATCAGTGGTTCATATCATATTTTGGGTTGCGGACCCATTTCAGAACCTGATGAAAACTATGGACCTCATCCTACCCCAAATAATGCATATTAACATAAAGTAAGGTAAAGGTTTCCCATGGAACAATGGATGATGGATCTGGATCATGTTTTTAGTGATGAGACGCTAGTGAATGGCTATTGTTAATTGTATATTATCGTATAATGTGTTATGATGTTAACTGTTTTTTATACCGTGTTATTGTAGCATTGAATTTTTGCTGTCTTGTTGTGAACCGCTGTGAGTCGCCTAAGGGCTGAGAACAGCGGTATACAAATAAAGTAAATAAATAAATTTGAGTCCCCCTAGGGGTGAGAAAAGCGATATACAAGTACTGCAAATAAATAAATAAATAATAGTAGTAACAGTAATTGCAATTAAGCAGCACCTGATATCTCCAGCATGTCACTCATTGAAACTAGAAGCAGATATTCACTTCCAGTAAGACTTGAGTTCCTCAACTCTATTTGAAAATATTACTTAAGGGATTTGTCGTGGACAATATGGCTTTCAAAAGATGCCCTTGAGACACTGCAGTCCTAGCTGGCGATGTTCAATCTGTGGCTGTCTCCCAGAGCAGACTGGAAATATCCCCAAGTGAGTCTAAACCTCTTGAGACTAATATAAGCTGTGGATCTAAAGTGTGGGCTTCTAATGAGTATTCCAATGGAGTGGGCCATTATACCACTAAAAGGGTTTTTGGAAGTACTAGCAAATAGCAAATACATATTTTGCCAGAATTTTTCTATGGTAACACTTAAGACGGGGGGGGGGGGGGGGGGGGGGGGGGGGGGGGGAGTTACACCACCACCCCTGAAAACTGTAGAGTTGCAACCAGAATGAGTTCTAGTTAGGGGAACTGGTGAGGTGGTTTCCACAGTTTTAAGTGTTAGTGAGAAAAAAGGGAGCAAAATAATCCTGTTCTGCCATGTTTCAGTAGTTTTCCATTCTTTTAAAGAATGGGATGAAACCATGTAGTCTGCTAGGGATTCCAGGGAACACAGTATTATTTTGATACCTGGATTTGAATAATAATAGCCACATTGCCCTTGGCTTCTGATTTCCTTCCCATCTCTTTTTTTCTATCTGGTAGTTGCTTTTCTTATCTATTTGGTCTCAATGTTCTGCTGAATGGAGAGTCATTTCCGCTTCCAAAATGCTCCCTTTGATGTAAGGATGAATAATATATATTATTAGTCAATGAAGTCCATAATCCCTATCATTGGGTATATTAGACAGGGCTAATAGAAATTTCAGCCCAACCTCTGTTGGTTTATGTATTTCAACTACTCTTGAATTTCAATCTGCTCCCTCTCCCCCACAAATGCCCTGGGACATGAGTGAGCAACTGCAGAGAGGACCACAGAGGGTACCCCAGTACCCTCTGAGGACCAAATAAGTATGCTCAATGTGATGGTAGTTATGCCAGTTTTCAACCAGTTTTCCATAGATTTGGTTAGGAGAACACAATATTGTTGTGTTTTGCACTTCACTATTCTAAGGAATTGGGCCAATCTGTAGATTTTGGGGCACTTTATGAAGGATTCAAGTACAATGATAGCTTGATTTAAGAGTGTAATTTTTTCCATGACTCAAAATGCTCTTATCTCAAAGCAAGGTTTCTCCTTGAAATGCTATTAATCCGTTCCAGGGGCCTGAATCCCCACCCCCTTTTGTTACATGTTTTAAAAGAAAATGTACTTTATAAATTACAAAGAATATATAAATGCACAGTTACAATAAATATCAACTTTAAAATGGTGAGAAGCCTCAAATTGTGGCAAGGAAGCACAAGATGAGCAGGCAGAAGCATCATTTTCTTCATACTATACCCATTCCAGCCTCCCTACCTCTCTTGAGCTCTCTCCTTCTCTCTCTTCATGAAGCTAAACATAACCAGGAATAAAAACCACACAAAATTAACTTAACTCAAAGTTTCTCAAAGTGGGCAAGAGTGAAATAGACAGCGAGGTGAACAAGAGCACGAGGCATGGAGGCTGCTTCTTCTCACGCAAGCTGTTAATTCAAAGTGCTGCTCTTATACCAAAGTGTGAAACCCAGGCTGAGCAACAACTCTTAAATTGAAATGCTCGTAAGTCAAGATTCCACTGTACCACACATTGGGATCATGAGGGCCAAATGCAGCTTGTGGATTATATTTTGTTCATCCATGCCACAGAGGATGAATGACAGTTATCACATTTCTGTGAAAATGAAATGCGATTTTCTGGAGTTGTAAAAATATGATTAAGTGAAGGAGGAAAGGATTCTACTAGTTTCTAAAGCAAGGTGGTTGTTTCTTCTTTAGGGTAATTTATGTCGGGTGACCCTGCATCAGTCTCCTTGAGGAACAACAGTATTGATATGGGAGCACCTGACATGACCAGTGTCTTGATGTGAAGGACCCTTCTATACACAAGGGAATTGTGACCATGTCCTGTTAGTAGCATAACCATTGGCCTTTTCGCAGTTTACCTTGAGCCTTGAGACCAGGTTTCCAATTCCTGCTTGGTCGTGTCAACCCACAGAATGACCTTGGGCAAGACACACTCTCATTCTCAAAAGAAGGCTCAATTCCTGCCAAGAAAACCCTCTGCTAGATTCACTTTAGGGATACTATGAATATAAAACAACTTGAAGGCACAATAACAATCAGTCAAGAATTTCTATTTAAATTCTTTTCTTTTGCAAAGGGATTAAACATTTGATCTCACAGCACTTTCTACAGGAATCCCCATTTGTTAATGAGATGGGAAAAACCTGCTCATGATAATGAACTGAAGTGTGAATGTTGCTGTGCAGGATATATTTCATGCTAAATAAATGAAAGGAAATAGAAATATGGTGGGAATTTATGTGGTGTTATTCCTCCATCCCCTGCAGCCTGCAAGCACACAATAGGATGCACTGGAAAATATAAGCAGAGTAATTCATTTCCTATTTAAAAATAACCTATACATTCAATCTGTTGTGTTCTTCTGATAACCTAAAAATACTTCACGGGTTTCCAGGAAGAGAAAATATATATCTAGTCTTTCCTCTGGTTGCAGAATTTGCATATTACAAACAATTGAAATCTTTTGCTGACTCAAAACTCTGCTTATTATTCAGTTATTAGTTCTGATAAAGTAGACCCACTGAATCAGTAGAAGTTATATAAGTGTTCACTCATGAAATCCCCATTGATTCTGAGATAGTACAGTATAGGATGTGCTTTTCTAAATGTAAACCATTAAAGTTCCTGTTTCGTGGTAATTGCCCCTCCTGGGTGAGATAGTGAAGAGTGTAAAACAATTGGAAGAGAAGTTCAGTGTTGCCCAGAACTTGTCCTTCTTGTGACCTATTGACTGTTGTTCCCATATATTTGTTCCAATTTCCTTTTCAAGTGTTAAATGGAGATGATATATCTAGAGGAGGGTTTATCATGCTTTCTTAATGATCAGCAAAGCATATTTAAACAAAGATTTTTTAAAATTTTCAATGGGACATGTAGATTGTAATTAATTATAATTTAATATGAGTAAGAATTCATTTGTACAGATAGCTTCAGGTCTTTGTTTTGAAAAACAAATAGACATTTCAGTAGTATTTTTCAAAGTCAGCAAATTTTCTCATAGCTTTGCTGATGTAGGCAAAATCCACCTTTTCACAAACAGATTGTAGAAGTGGAGTTTTAGGGAATCAGAAGAGAATCACAACCAGTGTTCACACAGTATTATTTGTTCACCAGTCATCAATGGTCCCTCTGGCCATCAAATGCTGGGAAGAAGCAAGAGTGGATAGCTGGCACCTTCACATTCTCCTTGTGAAATTCCCAAAGGTATATGGCTGGCCAAGCATGTTTATAACCGAGTGCTGGCTTTGATGGACTTTTACATTCAGTGGGATTCAAGCAGAGACTATAATACTGATAGAAAGTTAGTTCCTATTTATCCAAACCCTGAGACAGACACTAGAGGTAAAGGTTAGGCTGATTAAGCAAATGCTTAGAATATTGTACGCTGTTTTCAGAGTTTCGTGCCTTTAGAGTTCACCCACTCTTTAGATATGTTGTCTCTATTTGCCCAGGATCATAAGAAACATTTGGTCTCTTGGAGGTTTGCTAAACATATTCTAGAATAATTTCTCCCTTTGGCTCCCACTTTCCTCCACTTTAGGACTCATCTACACTACTGTATAATGAATTTTCTGAATGCAGTTTAACTGCATTGAACTGATTATATGAGTCTACACTGCCATATCATGCAGTTCAATGCAGTTAAGCTGCATTCTAAAACTGCATAATATGGCAGTATATATGTGGCCTGAGTTTCTTTGTCATTTTCCTCCATGTTATTGTTTTTTTTTTTCACAGTCAGGTTTTTTCCCCTGGCATCTGCTGTTTTTATTAGAGTTTTGCAAATTACTTCATTGAACTGATTTGGATTGGTTGCAAATCAGACTGGATCAGTCTGAACTGGGGTCAGAACAGATTTAGCCAAAGCAGTTTGGACCAGTTTATGAATCCAGTTAAAAGCAGGCAATGTGTCTGCAAAACAGCTTAGTCAAAGAAATTGTCAGAGGAGGGGATAAAACAGAACTTTGCTGGTTTGACAGTTCAAGTTTCCAAGTTCCCATACATACCAAAAGTCCATTCACAGTGCTTGGAGGGTGGGTACAATGAAGTGTATTTTGGGGTGACTGGTTTTGTTTTGATAGTTCTCTGCAGGAAATTTTTTAAAACTTCTTTCTAAGACCTTGGTGGTAGGGTTCTTGGTGAAGGATGGTGAAGATCTTACTGTTGCTTGTTTAATCTTTGAAGTTCAATATCCATTCCTCATGCATTTAGTTCCTTCCATGCTCTTTTACACCTTCTACACTGCCATAAAATCCAGGTTATCAAAGTAGATAATCCACATTGTCTGCTTTGAATGGGATTATATGAATCTACACTGCTATATAATCCAGTTCAAAGCAGATAATCTGGATTTTATATGGCAGTGTAGGCTAGGCCTATATATTTTTAAGTACCTTCATTATGGATGTTTCTTTGTGCTGCCCAGGCCTGGTTTGGTGATGGTAGTGCTTGTGGTTCACTATTATGAACTTCTCCAAAAAAGCAAGACCTGATGGACAGATGGATGCATGCGTCTTTCCTTCTGTTTTCCCGTCCCTATGAATTGAAAATGGTCAGAGCTCATCATTAGTATTTCTTCTTCCTGAGATACTGATTCATGAGAAACTGTTAATTTGCCAAGAAACAGTCCTTTCTATTTGTGCTTTGTCTACCAAAAAGAAGATTACTCATGCGTTCCTTGGAACCAGGTCTGCATGGTAGTATTTCCTCGATTCCTACAAGAGTATAGAGTCTCTAAATGATTCCAGTGGATTACAAGAAAGCCTAGCAGAGGTCTTGAAATTCTGAAATGATTTTATTAAGCAATGTGAGGCCCAGCTGATAATAAAAATGTATGAATTGCTTGAATTGTAATGTAGAATATATTTTAATATGCCAATCAAAGCAAGGAACAGTTTTAATCTGTGGCTTGTTCCAGATAGGTCTGCATGCTGTTGCAGTCTTATCTGAATAACTGTTTCAATATATAGTTTTCAAGAAAATGTTTTTGTTTTCATTTCAGATCCAAAGGTTCTGTTCTTTCATGAACCTGTCACGTATGCAGTGGAAGACAGTGATGCTCTTATTCAATGCCCAGTGACAGACCCAGACATTTCAAATTTCACATTGAAAAGATGTAAAAATGCAAAGTCTCTACCTGAGAATATTGTGTTAAAACCTGACCCTCAGAAAGGAATTACCATAAAAAATGTGCAAAGATCATTTTGGGGTTGTTACCAATGTGTAGCACAACACAACGGAGAGGAAAAACAGTCAGAAGCCATCACTCTTGTTGTGCGGCCAGGTAATGCATATCTTTGTATTGTCTGCAATGTCTTGCTACAATCTAGAACATAGTTGTGTGCTTCTACAGTTTAGGCAACCAGTAGATTGCATCTTAAACAAAGGTGGAAAACCTTCAACTTGAGGCCACATGCAGGCCTCAGTTGGATTTGATGTGGTTCCCAGCCTAATTTCCAAAGCCTTATGCAAATGTCCAAGTCATACTTCTGCAGTACTGTCCATTTTCCAGGAATCTTGCTAGATGAAGAGGAAGAAAGAATGGGGTGGGAATAAGAAAAGATAGGGGAACTCATCTGCTTTGGTCTTTGGTCCCACTGGTGTCACACCTACCTATGTCTTAACATCTAGCTCTTTACAGATTATCCCCAAACCAATGTGACCCTTTACATAGAAAGTATTGGCCTTCCCCGATTTTCCTACATTGAGCTTTTATGGGTGGATAAGGACATTTCTGAGTTTTAATATTACAAAAATGATTATGGAATATCTTTTCTGGAATATGTTTTCACTATGGGATTAAACAGAGTTATTTGTGCATGTTATTTAGTTCCAGTAAATGTTTTCATTCTTTAACTAAGAGGTCTCCTTCACACAAGGGCACTATTCTACTGTATTATGGAGATTTAAAATCAACTCTCAAGGTGTGACATTTTATTGAGAGGTTAATAATTGTTGATTTCCCTCCCCCACTTCTCTCTTAAAGTCTCTGCTTGTAGTGAAAAATAATACATGCCTAAATTGTTTTCCAGTTCACAAATCCCTTCCAGACATCACCTTATCCAAAGCCGACCAGCTTCTTAAAGAAGGTGAACAATTTGAAGTTACGTGCACAATCAGAGATGTAGATAGCACTCTGCGGGCTAATTGGATTTCTCCAACCAATGTGGTGAGTTCATTATATCCCATCAGTCTTAACTAATGTACTTAAAAAGACCAATCTTTACAAAAACAACATAGGATGGTATTGAGGATGTATACAACATTGGTGGCAACAAAACAAAATTCATAGCAAGAGTTGTTATCCAGAACAATGGTTTTGGCAAATCTCAAGTGGATACTCAGCCTTTCAGCAGACTTCTTGCCATTCTGCTCCATACCCTTGACATCAGCCCTCTGCTCTTGAGGAAATGAGAAGCAGTTGCCTCAGATGGCAGCTGAGATACCTTCTAGCAGCCTAGCTTGGCAACAATCCGTGGATTTGTATGGAATGTCTGACTTACACTATAGGATCTTTGGAATTCCACTAACATGATTTCCTCATCTACTTCATTTGATTCATTTCAACGGGAAGTCTCAACCCAGCTTTTTAAAGACAAGATTCAGAAATGATTTATCATTGTCTTGTTCTGAAATACAGCCTACAGAGCTTAGTGTTCCTTGGCACTCTCCTTTTCAAGTAGTAGTCAGCCCAGACCTTGCTTAGCTCCCAAAATCTGAATCTAGTGCCTTCAGGTTATGGGGTCACAAGTTAGTTAACGAAATCAGCTGCCATGATTGTAGACCTCTAGACCAGTGGTTCCCAGGCTGTGGGACACAGCCCACTGGTAGGCTACAAGACCTAAAATAAGGCCCGCTGCTCAAGATTATTAAATATGGTTTTCTGTTTGTGAGCAGATGGCAATTACTGGATGGCATGTGTTCTGTATCATAAACTTGAGTTGATGTGGTCTATCCAATGCAGTTTTCTGAATCAGCATCCCAAATAACCAAACCAAATCTAAAGTTGACAAAAAACTGATTTGTAACCCTTTTGGTACTAATGTTGAAGAGTGGTCCCTGGTCAAAGTGATCCCTGGTCACGTGGTGCTTAGTCAAAAAAAAAGGTTGGGAATCAACTGCTCTAGACATTTTCAAGTTCCATTATCTCTAACCACTGGCCATACGTGACTACTGGGAGTTGTTATCCAAAACCAGATTGCAAAATGCATTCAAAAAGCATTTTTAAGATTATGTCTTTCAACCCCCAAACAGGAATCTACTTGTGGAACAAGACCCAGGTTTTCTACATTAAAGCACAAGACATAATGTGATGTTCAGGAGAAAGGCAGAGTTGCCATGGTAGCTGGGGATTTGGGGAATTGTTTTCTTAAAGGAATAGTATTTGACTCTGGGGTAAAGATAGAAAGCTAGACATTCAAGACAAGGACCTTGAAGGTCTGAAACAATAGTTCTCTGACTTAAACCCTTTAGACCTGAGGTTCTCAAAGTAAAGGTTTCTTGTAGAGCCCTAAGAAATGTTTATATATTATATATTGTGTTTTTATATATAGAGTCAGTGGCAGATGGATGGAGAGTGTTTGTGTGAACTAATTCACACAGTGTCAAAAAAAAAGGAAAGAAAGAAGGAACAATACAGCATTCAGAAGGAAGACATAAAACATAAACTTAACAGTATTTCAGTGGAAGATCTCTGGGGCCAGCCAGTCCAGCCTTTGTAATAGTAGTAGTAGTAGTAGTACCAATAACAATAGCAGAAACCCCAGAGGTCATCCAGTCCAACCCCCTCCTGCCATGCAGGAAAAACACAATCAAAGCACCCTTGAGTGGTAGGAGGGAAATAGGAAGCAAAAAAAGAAAAAAGCAGGTTGGGGATTTCATTGCATTCCTCAGGAGGATGAGGCAGGAAGCAGCATAGTGCTGTGGAACCCCTCACTTTCAGTTTTTACAGTTTGAGAACCCCTGCTTTAGATCACTGATATAAGGATACCTAGGTTTTCTTTACTCCTAATGGGGTGATCATCAGGAGGAGGATGCAAGTATGAAAAAGGCATGCAGTTGAACTCAAAAATCACTGCTGTTGTGATGATGATTGTGATTATTATGATTATTTGCTATTTTCAAAAAGAGTGGATTGTTTGGCTGAATCCAGTTCCAGGTTGAGTCAAGGCTGGGGTAGGCTGAGGGTGTGCAACAAGTGTGCCAGAGGAACTGAAGCAGGGCAAACAGTGTAATCAAAAATGGTTCCAGGGAGCCTTACTAGCAGTTACTCCCTTGAAATAATGGCCTAACTGTCTCTAAATCATTGGCCATTCAGAAATTGAAGGATATCTGTGGTTTTTTGTATTGTATTTTGGGGGCATGCAAGGGTTAAAATTCATAACCTCCCAACAAGAGTGCTTTTAACCTTCTAAGTACAATTCCACTGTTAATTGACAACAGTTAAGAGGTGTGTATGTTTGGGAGGTGGGGTTGATTAAAATATATAACCAACAACTTGTGTGTGAATAGAAAAGGGATTCATGTGGCATTGTAATGACAGATAAATCTCATAGCCTTGGGGAAGATATGTCCTGGGTAATCTCTCCCTGGAGTCCTAGATGCCATTCTCTGCTAATCCACCATCCTTTTCACCTCTTGGGTCTCTTAAGTGCTTTATCTGATGGCAGTTTGCAGCTTACCTACTCAAATGGTGAAGCAAAGCCTCACTAGGTACCAGACAAACATGGGACCTGCAGAGGGACTACTGGGATACTTCCAAAATCATTATAAATTTTGTATTAAAATGCTTTTTCACTTGTTTGATTTCTTACTCTCATATTTTGCTGATTTTCGTTGTTTTTGTTCCTGCGTTTTCTTTTTTCATATTTGTTTGTATACAAAATATTCCTAGTAGGAATATTTCCAAGAGTTGACTCTTCTTCTCTAGCATCCAACAAGCATGGCCACTAATTCTCAAAATAAGTTCGTTCAGGCTCTAAGAAAGCAATAGATATGAGAAAGTTACTTGATAATGAGTAGCCATGCTGATTGAATGATTTTGAGAGTTGTAATCCAAAAATGTGTTTTTCCCCAAGCTCAACAGATCAGATGCTGTCCTTAGAAATGAGTGCTCCCTCACCATAATGGTTATAACCCATGCTAGAATAAAAATATATATTGTCACCTCAGTGGTATGAAAACTGTTGCATCACTTTTCCTTCACTGAGACCGGCTGGAGAGGAAACAGCAAAACAAGAGCTGACCCTACCATTAATGACTGTGAGGCAAATACTTCAGGCAGTAGGCTCTGGGGAGGAGGACAAAGAAGAGTGATCAAGGTGTTGGAAATTACAGCTATATGTGCCAAGTGGCCTCCCTGCCAGCTGTACACTGACCTGCTCATTTCACTTAAATGGCATTACAACTGTGTAAAAATAAAAAAATTCAGTATGAGGAAAGGGAGATGTGCCATTTTGTTGCTTGAGGCAGTGAAATGTCCTGAACCTAGTCTTGGGTCCTGCCCTAAGTGATGAAACTACTACGCAAGGTAGCATTTTCTCCTGCACACTGGTATAGTCTCACTCCACTGCTGTGAAGTTTCATTGTTGTAAGTCTTGCTCTGCCAGTGTGATCCTTGTTTCATAATATCCTGAAGGGGCACAACAGAAGACAACCAGCCGTGGCCTCCTGGCTGCTGAAATAATATTGGAAGCCACCCAAAGACTACATATCTTAATAAGGACAAATCTCTAATGTAGTTATTACTAGAAAAGAAAGCTGAATACAAAGGACATAGGAGTGAATTTGGAGAAAGGAAATAAGAATAGGGATGAATGTGTGCATGCTGCTCTAGGAAGGACATATTTTTTTTCCCAGGGACTGCGTTGCGAATGTCGTTTTGTATGGAGAGGTTCCAGTGACAGGTTTGTCATGATGGCTTATTATTCTGGTTTTAAGTTATGAATATTAATATGGTGAAGTTATAATTACATCTATTTTTAATTTATCTGGGAAAGATGCTGTGTACGCTGTATCTGAGATGTTAATTTCTCTCCCCCCCCCCCCCCTTTGCCAACAGAATCTTACAAGCAAAAGCAAGAATGTGGGTGATTATGGATATGAACGAAAATTAATGCTGAGCATCCGTTCAGTGGGAGTTAATGATTCTGGAGCATTCACGTGCCAAGGAAGCAACCCTTTTGGAACATCCAATGTCACTATAACCTTGACAGTACTAGGTAAATAGTAACATTGCAGACATATAAGATTTCTGTGCCATGGGGAGAACAATTAATAAATATATGTATTTTGTGTATTGTCCAGCCCACTAAAGGTGAAAGGGAAATGAGAAGATGGTTGGAGATAGGTGTGGCTTATTTTTAATGTTATGTTTCAAAACAAATCAGTTTTACAATAACCACTTCCAAAACACTGTTGTGGACAAAAGCACACACTCTTGAGTCATGGTATGCACATTGTGTGTTCTGTTACAGCTACAGTGAACACAAAAGTTACAAAGAATATTAACACCAACTTGAAAAATGTTGAAATTAATATAAATGTAACTTGATTAGATATACCTTTAAAATACGTATCCACTGACCAGTGTGTCTACATAATTGCCGGTACCTCCCATAAAGCTGTGTTTGCTATAGACAGCAAAGCTTTTTCAAATGGGAGAGGCTATTTGTGTATATTCTTTCATATAATGTTCACTACTATGTTGTGGAAGCATTGAAATACTAAATGTATTTTATATTTAAATAAAGCCTTGAACGCTAGCACGCAACTGGGCATTGTTTGGATCAGTTGTGGGCAATTTCAGCAGATCCAGATGCTAAGTCTTCTCCACTCTCCTATGACAGAGTGTATTTTCTTTATCGTTACACACTGGTGGAAATCATCCACAGTAGTACAAATGAAACAAAATAAAAACACTTATAGTTGTTTTAGTGGAGAATTATACTTCTCAGAGGCTTCCTTGAGAACAATTATGCTTTTAAAATTAGATATAGATTCCCCATATACTTTTTTTTCCACCTTAAAAGAACCAGGAAGTTGGATTCTTTTACATCATTTCCATGTCCCTGAATTTCAGCCACATTTTGCTGAGTGCTTGTGACAGGTCACTACCTATAAGCCATGTGCTGCCTACCCTTGATAGTTACCAAATTATTACAATATCGGTATGTACTAAGAAATAGTATAGGATGGCATGGTTTTAAAAATTGACTTTTGTACTGAAACAATAGCTTATTTGAGGCCTAAGCATGTTTAGGTTTGGTTTTGTTTATATGATGTTAAAGTACAATTTATTAGACACTTTCTTGTGCAATCTTGCATTAAGATAAATAAGAATTGCAGAAGATTGGTGTGCAGGACAACCTTTTGGTGACTACTTGCTTTTGTGTCCTTAAATGCTTATAATATTATGTTTTCCCCTCCAAAAATGTTTTCTTAGTGACATGCAAACCAATGAAATGAAAATACTCTGTAAATATATTGAAATAATAGATAAATTACTGAATAATATGACTATCAGTGCTACTAGCCATAGGGATAACATATTATTTAAAATATAAGATGCAGCATGCCTCTGAAGATCAGTTCCTGGGGCACATGAATGGAAATATGTACTCATGCCCTGTTTTTGGACTGTTGAACCTGAATATTGGACTAGACAGGCCTTTGGTCTGTAGGAGTTTTTTCCCCTGTATCTTAAAAAATATAAAATAATCACTCAAAGCTGTGACATCAAAATAATGCTAATATGAACACTTGATCGTATTTATGAATCTTTTACACACTTATTTGTAAAAGTCCTGTAGGAAAACCCTCTTCTCAGTAGAAAGGCATTATAAGATGGTAATTTCAAATTGAAGGTCATAGTATAAAAGTGAGCAATTGCAGTGGGTCTAGTGTCTACTGCCGCCCCACACCTTACTTCGGGATTTATTGCAGGACATTGATTGGGAAACCAGATGTGCTTTGTTTCAGACTATTTCGTGGGGTGAAAATAAGAGACAGGAGCACAAACTTTATTTAATAAGGGAATCACACTTCTTGTAGGCTTAAGTGTTATTCTCTGTTTTAAATGTAAAAAAGGAGCAATTTCTTGAAGCTCAAGTCACCGTATCCATTTTGCACCCTGTTGAATAAGAAACCTCCACCTATATAAGGAAGATTGCATAAGGATGTGGTTCTCAACCTTCCTAATGCTGCAACTCCTTAATACAGTTCCTCATGTTGTGGTGACCCCCAACATTATTTTTGTTGCTACTTCATAACTGTAATTTTGCTACTGTTATGACTCTTAATGTAAATATGCAGGATGTATTTTCATTCCCTGGACCAAATTTGGCACAAATACCCAATATATGTAGTTTAATTTATTGATGTCAGGTTTCATTTACGGATGTTAGTTTTTAATGTTACTTTTATATGTGGGGTTTTTCTGTGATTTTATGTTAGTATTGTGTGTTTTATGTAGGCATTGAATATTTACCATTGTTATGTTGGAATCCTCCCTGAGTCCCCTCGGAGAGATAGGGTAGAATACAAATATTTTTTTTTAGATTATTATTATTATTATTATTATTATTATTATTATTATTATTATTATTATGCCCAAATCTGAATACTGGTGGGGTTGGGGGGATTGATTTTGTCATTTGGGAGTTGTAGTTGTTGGAATTTATAGTTGATCTACAATCAAAGAGCCAAACTTGGCATGCAAAACTCCCATAACTAACAGAAAATGCTGGAAGGCTTTAGTGGGCATTGACCTTCAATTTTGGAGTTGTAGTTTGGGAGTTAGAGTTGTAGTTTACCTACATCTAGAGAGCACGGTAGACTCAAACAATGATGTATCTTGGCATGAATACTCAATATGCTCAAATGTGAACACTGGTGGAGTTTGGGGAAAATAGACTTGTCATTTTAGAGTTGTAGTTGCTGGGATTTATAGTTTATCTATAGTCAAAGAGCATTCTGAACCCCACCAGTGATAGGGTCAGGACAAACTTCCCACACAGAACCCCCATGACCAACAGAAAATACTGTGTTTTCAGATGGTTTTTGATGACCCCTCTGACACCCCCTCATGACCCTCCTGGGATCCTGACCCCCAGCTTGAGAAATGCTGCCATAAAGGCTTGGTGGACATTTTTTTTGTGAAAGTCTAACCTGGCAAAATGGTTGCTGTGCCCTGCATCAACATGTCCTTTACTTTCTGAATTGAGGACCCATGAAATAAAGCTTTGTCTGGTAATTGAGTAGGGAAGAACATATGGGAGGAGCTGTTCCCAGGGGTATGCTGGATTGTACCCAAAGAGCACATTTTAGTGTGAAAGCTTTGATTTCCAGGGCTCACTTAAAAGCTTGAACCATTGTTTTGCAACACACACTCCAGATTAGTTCCGTCAAGAGCCATCAGAAGTGCTTATGATGTGCTGTTTATTAACATGCTTTCCTGAAAAGCTGCCCCAGAGTGCTGGATTCCTATGACACATAGTACTTTTTAAATATTAAAATTACCATAAGTGCTAAACTGATTAGGAACATATTTATGTGCTGTAATTAGCAGGAGTATTCTGAACATGTCTTTATCCATAATTGGCAAAAAAAGGTTTTCCCACCCCCTCTCCTGGTTTCCCCTGCTTCTTAGATAGTATTACTTCACATAGTGAATTAGTACAGTCTTGTATGGTTGTTCCACTGATGGAACTGCTTCCATGAATGAAACCAGGAAACAAGGCCAACTATTGCTTGTCCACACAAAATCTGTTCATGGGGATTAGGCAACATTTCAGACAATTACCTCTTTGACCTCTTATTTGCAGGCGGGTTTATCATTGTTGTATTTGTGCAGGTGTTTTTATTTTGTGAACCAACTTAAATTTCTAATACACATCAAAGTATGGGATATAAGTTAAATAAAGTGAATGCATAGGTAGATAATAAATTGAGCTCCATGTCCCTGAGACTTGAATGCTCCAGTAAATGCAGTGGCTGAATCCATGGAAGTATCTGTAGAGAAGATCCCTATGTGAAACACAAGTTACAGCTCACTTCATTCAGTATAATGTCATTGGCACTCACTCTAACCTTCAATTGATAAGGCTTGCTTTTCTACACATTGCAATTTATGGCATACTTTCTCTGTAAAATTTCCTTCTGCTCTTGACCTTGATTTTAATTATATGTGCTTCGGGGGACAACAATGATTTTTTTTTAAAAAAAAAAATCTCTATTTCAACCACCAGGTAAAGGATATGTCAGTTTATCAACTTCTACAGATTCAACAGTACATGTTAATGATGGAGAAAACCTGGCTTTAATAGTGACCTATGAAGCATATCCCAAACCAGAAGAAGAGATATGGATGTATATGAATGAAACATTGCAAAATTCATCTGATCATTATGTCAGAGTCACAAATATAGACCAAAACAGGTAAAATAAAATTATAGTGCAACCAAATACATATTGATGTAGAGCTGGGGTTCTTTTTCCATATTGCAGCTTCATAACAGTTCACAACAACCTTTACATATGATGTCCAAAAGCTGAGAGGGCAGGGACATGTTCAAGTTTTTGCATTTTTCTAATACCCAAGAGTCAGAAAACCAAATGTATATGGTGGGACCCTTAGTGTCTTCTCACAGGTTGACCCTTCTCTCCCCTGATATGATGAGCTACACTACTTTTATATACTTCAATAAAACTAGTAGTAACAATAGAATCATAACATGACATCTATCAGTTCCACAGTTTAGTACCAGAGTAGTGTGATTCCAGAGTCCCAAGGGCTTTTTCTTTTTCCCAAAGTTGATGTGATAGTTGAAATTGGGTGACTGTAGCCCAATTACTACAGGACCTCGTTGAATGATTAAGGTTAGCTATGATATGTTGCTCCCTTTGAAGATTCATGGGTTCCTTTCTCACAACAGAATTATAGATCTGTGATTCCACTGTATTTGTCACATCCTGTGGAATCCTAATATTTCTAATTTTGAGGGAGGGGAGGTACTTGAAGTTAAAATAATAATAATAAATTTTATACCCTGCAACCATCTCCCATAGGGACTCGAGGCAGCTTATAAATAGCACATAATGGTGCCATACAGCATGTAAAATACAATATATCAACATTAAAACCAATAACATTTAAAACCAGACATATAAAATTAACAAGAGCAATATAATCAATAAAATATGGCAATGGTCATTGATCGAGGGTCCATACAATCAATTTAGCCTTCCCTGGCTAAAGATAGTAGTCTGGCTGCTATCTTAAACGTTATCAAAGGCATGCTGAAAGAACCAAGTTTTTTTGTAGTGGAGGCTTGCCTAAATTCCCTGGGGAGGGAGCTCCAGAGCTAGGGGGTCATCACTGAGAAGGCCCTCCCCCTCGTCCCCACCAACAACACTTGAGACAGAGGTGGGACTGAGAGGAGAGCCTCCCTGGCAGATCTTAGAGCTTGCATTGGTTCGTAGGTGAAGATGTAATCCCAAAGATAGACCTCATCCAAACCATGTAGGGAAGTGGTTCTCAACCTGTGAGTCCCCAGGTATTTTGGCCTACAACTCCCAGAAATCTCAGCCAGTTTACCAGCTGTTAGGATTTCTGGGAGTTGAAGGCCAAAACATCTGGGGACACACAGGTTGAGAACCACAGGTGTAGGGCTTTATAGGTAATAACCTACACTTTGACTTGGGCCCGGAAACTTATCAGCAGCCAGTGGAGCTTCAGGGGAGCTGTCGGGGAGCTGTAGTGCATACATAACCAAACTACAGACAGTAGAATCATCGTAGTGTCTACCTTGTAGCAATTTATTTATGTAATGTGAAACAAACTCCTGTAGAAGAGGAATTATTAAATGAAGGACATGCACTCGCAATCCCCATTGGACATAGGGGAACCACAGGGTTAATTCCTCAATGTACAGTTGTAGCAACTTTATATCACTTTAAGTGCTGTGGCGTAATCCTATAGAATCCTGGAATTTGTAATTCCGTGAGGTACTTACAATCTTTTGCTAAACAACCGCAGGACTGCAATTCAGGGGAGACCACTGGAGCTCTCTAGCACAGAATTCTGAGTACACCAGACCACAAATCTCAGGATTTCCTAGTATTGAGTTTCATCAATTAAAGTGATATCAGACTTCTATAACTGTATAGTACATATGCAGTTGTAATTAAGAAAGAAAAAGACTTCATGAGCTTTTACAGCCAAGTTTGTGTTGATAAATAAACATTCACTTAGAGAAAAACATAAGATCCTGACAAATATATCAGAAAACAAATTGAAAGCCTTTTCTAAGTAATAGCAAATGGCAAATGAATCCACTACCTTACTGCATAGCTTTGCTACTACTTTTTTCCTCTTCTCATTTTGCGTGCAAGAAACACTTACTTCACAATCCTATACTAGTTGATGTAGTATTAAGTCTCACTGTGTTCAGTAGGCCCTATTTCCAGATTAATATTGTAGCCTTTGAATCGTCTTAGCATCCCAACATATGGAAAATAGTTTAGACTGAAAGGTATCAACTTCATAACAACTTGCAAACTACCGGGTGAAGTCCATATTCATCTTCGCACAGCCAAGGCAGCACTTTTCCCATTGCATTAAACTAACTGACAGGAATGTGATTTTCTGAAAGGAACAGTAACAACACAGAATAATTGCCTCTAATGCAACAAAATTTAAGTTTGGGTGTCTTAGCAGTCTGTTCAGTTTCCCATGTAACTGTCCTTTCTGCCTTTTTGTCACAAGAATAATAAAGCTGTACTTCTTCCTTCTGTAGACATTCCAGTGAGCTTCACCTTACTCGACTGAAAGGAACAGAAGGAGGCATTTACACATTTTTTGTGTCCAATTCAGATGCTAACTCTTCTATAGCGTTCAACGTCTATGTCAACAGTAAGTAGAAAAGAGGAGCCCGAAGTATGGCTTTATCACAGATCACTGCCTTTAGCATAAGATGCCACAATTTATTAATGGTTGCTGCAGAGGGGGCACCTGTGAAGCCTGCTTTGCAAACTGGGATGATATAACATTAAACATTGTAAAGAATCCTGTAGGAAACAGCTGCACGGTTGAAAGCGGAAGCCAGCACTTTAAACGTGAATGTGATAAGATTGGTGTGTGTAATGTTCTCCTAAAATCATGGTGTTCAATTCTTCCCTTCCCTTTTTAACATTAATTATATTTTGATGGTATTTTCTGGCATTAGCCATGAGTTGGTGTTGCATTCTAAGAGTATACTAAGATAATACTTAATGTGCATTTTAACTCTAACTTTAAATTTTAACTTAATGTATTTAATTGTCTGTTGTCTAAAGGCATCATTTGTAAAGCTGCCTTGAGTCCCCTTCGGGGTAGAGAAAGACGGGATATAAATAGAGTAAATTAAATAAATAAATGTTTAGGGCTGGTTTCGATTCCTATATCTTGTTATTGATCTTGGTATAGTATTATATATTCATATTCTGTGTTCTCTCAGCTGCTTGCCCTTTTGCATTAACAGTGGTTTAATGTAATATGCTATTTTCTAAAACTGATGTTTTATAGATTCTAAAATGAATGCATAGGTTCAGACATAGCATAGGAATGTGAGAAAAGGTGTAAATTTTTCAAGGTTGGTTTGGATACTATGAAATAATGCTTCTGCAACTGTCCTGGCCCCATAAATGCTAATTTCAAGTTTAATGTAAACAGACATATCTTGTGTGAAATATTTTTAATTTATGGAATATATTTTATGGGATCAAAAAAATTGAGATTACCAAAGAGTTTATACACTATGGTTTGGCTGCCTAGTCTCCAGAATTTAAAAAAAAATGACATTTTCCTTTTAAATTTATGATGGACTCCTGCTGCAGATACTGAGGATACCTTCTGATGCACAATCAGCCAGTTCAGTTTTATTATGAGTGACTTTGTTGAGAAATCTACAACCTTTCCAGAGTAAAAAGTAGCAAAGAAAATCTTTTTATTCAACCCAACATGGCTCGTTCACACTGGCTAGGGAAAAAGTGCCAGAAGACTCACCAGGCTTTTGAACCCAGTGAATTCCTGTATTTAATTCATAATTAGGAACTATTCCAGAGCTGACCTAGAAATTAGCAACATTTGATCCATCTGATCCAAAGTGTCTTCTCCCTGGAAAACCATGGTTTTGGAGCATCCTCACTTCTCTTTAAGAGGACGACACAAAGGCACCATTGTAACATCCTAACTATTCCATTCATCAGCACTAGAGCTTCAGACTGGGATAGCAAATATAACTTATCATACTCCTTGAGGTGATAGCTAGAGAAACAAACAATGTAAACTATTTTGTAGATGGCTGATATGAATCTTCTCAGTATATCAGTCATTTTATTTCTCACCCAAGGGGTGTTTATAAGAAAGTTTTGAATTAAGGAAGGAAGACAGGCTTAAAATACACATTTGATGGAAGGACTGGTTTCGCCATGTATCTCTCAGTCAATTTCAGAGAGCACATGATCCCAGTTTTTTACAATGATTATTTATTATTACCTTTGCATCCCAAGCGTCTGTCTATGGCTGGGCTTCCTATGTTATCCTGCCAGTGAGCAGATCAGGTTGACCCATAGGTAGTGAACATTTAGCTCTTCTTATGGTTTGCACTTCAATTCCTGTAGTCCCTTAACAGAGTTTATTCTTCTGAGACCTAGTAATTAATCCAAGACATTAGGATTGCAAAAAACAACATTCCCCACCACTGGGCTAAGAATATTGATTGATCACAATAGTGATCATGGAGTAACAGGATTTTCAATGAAAGTTCCTAGCCAAAGTGCACCACCGAGAACAACGTTGCCTGTAGCCAGAGGGGTATAATTAAAAATTATCCAAACTTGGGCCAGTGCTTGCTAGCAAGTGTTTTCCCTTCCAGTGCCCAATTCTGAGAGTTGCCTTACAGGGGCTTCCTTGATGCACTCCATTGTTCCTAATTATCCCTTGTTGCAGAAGAAGAAGCTGCTAATGGCTATATATTGCTCCCTGCTTCATCTACAACAAATTAAGTATTGAATGTTTCATTAAGCTGTTTTGCATAGCTCCATTCTCTTGTCAATAATCAGCCATTAAATGCTTTAAATCTCTAACTTCATTACTTTATTAAGTGCTCTTGAACTACCAGCAAAAGAGATTCCAAGAGAGCTTAAAGAAGTGCTTTTTCTTTTGAATCTCAATAGTCATCACTTCAGCACCATTGAATTGATTTACATTACGTTTACTGCCAATTTATTTTTCTAACTAATTATTGTTGTTATGTGCTTTTGAGTCATTTCTGACTTACACTGGCCCCAGGGCAAAACTATCATGTGGTTTTCTTGGCAAGATTTGTTTAAAGGGGGTTGGCCCAAGTCTTCCATTGAGGCTGAGAAAGTGTGATATTCCTACAATAATCCAGTAGGTTTACATGACTGACTGGGATTTGAATCCTGGTTGTCATCTAACACTCGGACTCTTCCTACTTAGTAAAGGCAAACAGCTATGGTAGCAATATATGTTTATTGTGTAGTGTGCCAGATAATTATGTAAGGTCAAAGTGTGGGTTGTATTAGCCATTCAGTTTGCCTCTTGAGTTAAGTGTTCATTTTTTACAAATAGCAAATATAGGACCCTTGTTCAGGATCAGAAACCTGAGCCCTCTTTCACACAGCTGTATAAAATCCACATTGAACTGCATTATATGGCAGCGTGGCCTCAGATAACCCAGTTCAAAGCAGATATTGTGGATTAACTGACTTGATATTCTGGGTTATATGGCTGTGTGAAAGGGCCCCTAGTTAAAAAAAATAGGAGGGGTTTAACATTTCTTCCATACACAGGTAGACCTGTCCAGATCAAATAACGCAAACCTGCGCCCATTGAATCTTGGGACCTACTCAGAACTGGGATTTTTCACTTTCCTACCAGTTTGTGTGTGTGTGTGTGTGGGGGGGGTACTTTGAACAAACACACACATAATTACAAATCCTGCAGAGCAACAGCTTTAAGATGGGCAACTATGGTTCCTTCCACACAACTCTATATCCCAGAATATCAAGGCAGAAAATCACACAATATCTACTTTGAACTGGGTTAACTGAGTCCATTCTCAGATGATGTGGGATTTTCTGCCTTGATATTCTGGGATATAGGGCTATGTGAAAGGACCCTATGTTCCTTTGAGGTTTCTTCAAAGGTAAGGTTTGCAATACCTTTTTTTTTCCTGTTTTGTATATCTATCCCCCTTGGGTTGTTCAAACTTGTTTTACAAATAGGAATGCTGAGGCTTGGAAACACGTTTAAGGGGCTCACTAAAGCTTACCTCAAAGGGGAGACAATGTGCCCTTCCACACAGCCTTATATCCCAGAATATCAAGGCAGGAAATCCCACATTATCTGAGTGTGAACTCAGATAACCTAGTTCAAAGCAGATATTGTGGGATTTTCTGCCTTGATATTCTGGGATATAGGGCTGTATGGAAGGACCCAATATTACACACCCAGTTGATTTGGGATCACAAATCCTGATCTCATTTCAGTGTCTTATAGGGTTCCTCATTTAAATTAAAATCAGAGGTTGAAAGTGAGTTGGAAGGATTCCCTAGCAAAACACTACTAGCTCTTATTTCATCCCAAGCCTAGCAATCTTGAAGAGTGTTATAGCTGCATGCCTTCAAATTGAATCTGACATATGGTGGCCCTATTACAGAGTTTTCTTGGCAAGATTTATTGATGTTTGCCTTCCTCTTCACTTAAGATATTGACTTGCCCACGATTAGTCTTAGGAGGCATATAAAACCTGGTTTTGCCGAGTCTTGGTCAAGCACTTTAACCTTTACACCAGTATCTCTGTGGATAAATTTCATTTGAAAAATAACATTGAGTTTTGTGGCATCTTTTAGATTAGCTCATTTGTATAAGCATAAGCTTCTTGTGGAGCGAATCCATAAGATTTGTGCTATTTTTGCTGCAACAGTAACATGACTGGAAGTTGATGTTAATGAGAAATTTAGAATGTATTCTAAATTTAGGAAGACTTTCAGTCATCTGTAATACATAAAATTTAATGCCAAAGCCAAGAAGAAGAAAAATGAAAGATTGTACCCTGAATTCTGATCCTGTCCTCTGGAGTATTGGCTATCTCTCCTAATCTGGTGTCATCTGCAAACTTGATAAGTATGCCCTCTAAGCCTTCATCCAAATTATTAATAAAGATGTTGAACAATACTGGGCCCAGGATCAAACTCTGGGGCACTCCACTGGTCATTTCTTTTCAGGTTGAGAAGGAACCATTGGTGAGCACCCTTTGGTCACTTAACCAATCACAAATCCACCAGCATTGCCCAGTCCACATTTGACTAGTTTGCTTGCAAGAAGCTCATGGGGGACTTTGTGAAAGGCCTTACTGAAATCAAGCTATGCTACATCCACAGCATTCCCTGCATCTACCAAGCTTGTAACTCTTAGTATTTCACCACCTTCTCCACGCATTGGCCCTACCATTTCCTTTTTCTTCTTTTTTCTACTGACATAACCAGATAACTCCTTTTTATTGTTTATAATCTCTCTATCAATCCTGATCTCCTTGTGTGTCTTAGTCTTATGAACCTTTTTCCTACATAAGTTGGTTATTTGAATTCCTGTTTGGTGATTTCCCCCCTTTTCCATTTTTGTTCATGTGTCTTTTAAATCTTAGCTCAGCTAAAAGTTCTTTTGACATCAATTCCCTTGTTTTACACTTCTCTTATTTTTTTCCCTCTTGCTGGCACTATTTGTAATTCTGCCTTCAGTACCTTACTTTTAAGAAATTCCCATTCATCATTAGTTCCCTTCTCATTTAGTATTCCTATCCATGGAATCATGCTCAGTATTTTCTTAAATTCCTGAAGTCAGCTCTCCTAAAATGTAGAGTGCACGTTTGACTTCTCTTAGGACCCTTCCATACAGCCCTTTATCCCAGAATATCAAGGCAGAAAATCCCACATTATCTGCATGTGGACTCAGATAACCCAGTTCAAAGCAGATATAATGGGATTTTCTACCTTGATATTCTGGGATATAGGGCTGTGTGGAAGGGCCCTTAGCCTCGCCCTTCCTTTGTGTCACAAACTCCAGGAGCACATGGTTTACTCCCACCTTAGTATCTCACCACTTCCACTCCATTGACCCAGGTCATCAGGGTTGGTTGGATCAGATCCAGAAGAATTGATCCCCTTGTTGACTCTTCTACCTTCTGGAAAATAAAATTGTCTGCAAGGCAAGTGAGGAATGTGTTGGATTTTGTATTTCTTGGTTTATAATTCCTCACCTTTTTGGAAACCAGGCCTCTGCATTTGAGTGGCATGATGAGAAAACAACTCTGGTTTGTTTGTGGCTAGACTGGCAGAGAGAAGCAAAGCAAGACTAAATGTGGCAGCACTCAGCTCTTTCTGAATAAACCATAATTCTCCAAAATTCTGGATAAGCCTCTCGTGTGAATATATCCTCCATAAACTTCTATAGTTTAAGATCAGGCTGCAAGAGTCATACTTGCAGTCAAAGTATCTTATGATGGGAAGTGGGAGGTTTGTTCATGACTTTTGATTGTTTGAGAGTTAAATAAAACAGTTGAAACATGCCTGGGGCTGTTTTTCTTGACTCTGCCTCTGACCAGGATGTGTCTGATGACTACACTAAACATACAGTTGAGTGATGTTGCAAACCAACCCCTGCGGCTTTTCAAAAGGGGTGGCTGGTTTCATGTGTTGAGAGGGACACTGAATGCAAATACAGAGAGAAAGAAAAAAGAACATATATTCTTAAAGCAGCAGATCCTGTCTGGTCTTGGAAATGACACATGGTCACCTCTGGTTTTGGATGGGCAGTCTTGGATAGGAGATGGCCAATGAATCCAGGCACAATCTGAGAGAAAGGAACTCGCAAAACTACCTTTGGGAATTTCTTTTCTAAGAAAACCCTATGAAATTCCTGTAATTGTCGTAAAATAATTCCACAGGCAACTTGAAGGAACAGGTGATAATAAAAAGAGAAAGCACATAGAAAATAGTGTCCTGTATGGATAACATCATAAATAATCCAGGTATCTCAAGTGATAGCTTACCTGCTGCTTTGGGGCTGTAATCCAAAGAATTTTTTTCCAAACTCTTGTAAGTAATGGGGTCCTCATTCTCTTTCCATTTGTAGTTGGGTTTTTATCATCTTAGGATGTGAAATGACTGAATGTCAAGACTACATAGGTGTTACCAAATGAGGTTGGCTAGAGTTCCTGTTACAGCTGTCCAATTCCTCCATTAAATAAATCCTTACAGGATGTTAACGATAAGTTTATTAAAAGCCTTTCCTTGGTGTACCTGTTCTTCTCAATGCTTTTTTTCAAACACAGCTAGCATAAATGTCTGTAAATCTTGTTTATGGCTCCTGTCTTCCCTCAGGCTGGGATAATAATCACTTGAACACATAAGTTCTGTGATTTCTTTCAAGTATTAGAAAAAGCACTGGAAAAGGAAACTCAAAACCATAAACCTTAATGGGTAGAGATAAATATTTTGGTACATAACGATCTACAAACCATTAATCTTCAACCCACTTAATCTGGAGAAAGGGAAACAAGAAGATTTTCAGTTTTTGTTGGACTGCAATTCCAGTGAGTCTTGGTGATAGATGATGGGAGTTGGGATCCAGTAATAACCAGAGGGTCGTAGGCTCTCCTTTCCTGATTTAGAAATTAAATCCTTCTGCTATGGAGGACTCACAACAGGTCGTCCAAATACAGTGTGGCTGAACCAGTGATGGGCAATGCTTTTGAAAGATCTGACTAGTACACAAAGTCCTCTCCTTTCATATTTCTCCATTCATATGACTTGGTAGAGTTTTTCAGATAAGGTTTCCAACATCACGACAGTCACAATTTTCCCACCCTAATGTAATGAAAATATTTTAGGGGCATTTAATAATTGCCATTAAGTAAAAGTCACCTTGAAGGCACATTACAACAACCGATCTGGAATATATTTACACAGGTGTAAGAGCCACTGTCGTCGATAGGGCTTACTGAGATGGACAGAGGTGTGTAGTTTTGTCAGATGCCTTAGTTACTGTGCACATGTTTTTGCTATCTGCTCAGTAGTATGGGCAAAATAGTAATTTGCAATAACACAGAAACCCAAGAACTAACCTTGATCTGCCCATTTACTTTCAGCCAAACCAGAGATTGTCACTTCAGAAAGACTTAGCAACGGCATGCTTCATTGTGTGGCTTCAGGGTATCCCGCCCCTACAATAAACTGGTACATTTGTCCAGGAACTGAGCAGAGGTGAGTGGACAAATCATTTGAATATGTGTAGATTCAAGTGTAATCAGGTCCTTGACTTTAAATGTGTACACTTCATCATGCCCTACAGACCTGATAAACGATAACAATGAGTTTTCCTGGAGGATCATTGCAGAAGCAACCAACAATATGAGGTGACTAGTGCCTTCCACTTTGCTGAGTAGACTGGCTCCCCCAAGTAACCTGCCAGCAATTTCAGATGCTACAGAAGTTATTTTCTATGTTGGGATATTCTTTGTGAAAATGACATATGTTCAGTAAATGCATGTGGGGAAGGGAGTTGGATCGTGTTCATTATCCTCACTTTTGACATGCCAGATAGCCATGCATGATTGCAAACAAACAAAACAAAACAGCGCACTTGTATGCATTGCTTATACAGCCTTTGAAACTCACTAAATATATTACCAGAAGTGAGGCTACTCATTGTGATTTAATTTGCAACCCAGCTTTTGTGTATGTGTGTATGCCATCAATGTACGTATTTTATAATGATCTTTTTTAACTGTGTTGCGCCTCTCTTCGAGCCATGAGGAGAGGCGGGTAACATATGATGATGATACCTATTCTTTATGAGTGGGTGAACTCAAAGACTCTCAAGTTTCATTTTCCATAGGTTGTCAGCTCTGTGGCTAATCAGTATCACTTAGAAGATTGGGTTAAGACAAGCAATCTCTACATGTCAACACCCACGTGGCAGCTAGCATTTTCTTTCATTAAAACTCTGTGGGTTTGCTTCCTTTACTGGAAGGAGTCACTATAATTTATGACCAGGCATTATGGGCCAAATGAGACTTCAGAGGACTTCCACCTCTTTACAACCAGGCTCTTCTTGGCCCTAATTATTTAACCCTGTAGAATGACAATTACAAAATAGCTTCTGTGTATGGCTATTATCTTTTGGATTTATCATGTAATAACACAATTTTCCAGGACGCAGAGTAATTAGATTTCCATTTACACAGAGTAGCTTATATGGTACTTTCCCTAAGCTTGTAAGCTTAGGGAAAAGAAAAGAATTCACTACAAAGGTAATTACCAAGTTTGTAAAATGATTGTATGTATTTTCAGTGCAGGTAGAGGATTTGCAAGCAAGATTATAAAATACTTGTGTATTTGACAGTGTTCTGGACTTTATTACAAGCGGATAATACATTTTCTATCTGAACCATTCTTCAACAGTTGTTTTTCATTCGTTTCCTTCTGAAATATGCATTTGTTATCAGCTGTGCAATAGCAACATTTCGCAAATTGGCATATGTGTTTTGTGTTACAGAGGGTTTCAATTGTGGCATTACAATATAAAATAAGAAAGATCATAGCATGCTTTTAGCAATGGTTCCTAACTGCTTGGAAACATTGCTTTTTTGTCTTAAACCTTTCAGAATCTCCCAGGGTTTGCTTCAGCTTTTGCCAGTACAGTTGAAGTGTTTTGGGGTTTGGATTTTTGAATAAAACCCACTCCAGCTCTGTTTTACTGTTTCATTACTAAATTCAGAACTCACTCTCTGAAAAGGAAACCTCTTGCTCATGAAAGAGGTCTCCTTTTGGGTTGTGCCTCCTGTGGCACATAATGTGACAAATAGGACAAACAGGCAGTGGAACATGCCATCAATTATGAATATGGCTTTAAAGATGGACTCCTCTAGACAAGGCAAATGTGAAAAAAAATTGGTTGCTGTAGTTCCCAAACTAAAATAATATATTTATTTATTCTAGATATTTCTATGCAGCCTTTCTCCAAGCCACCTTTCTTCCAAGGTGGCTCACATCATATTCAAAACATATAAGTCCCAAGTTCCACATTTGCAAAAAATAGTTGTGCTCATAGTTGCAGGGGGAGCATTCCCACAGTAATTCCTCTGGCAACATGTTCTTTGCTGTTTGCATATTGGTTGAACTTCCTCTTCCTTTGCCTGCTTCTTTTGTTTCAAGGTAAATATAGGGAAAGGTTAAAGGAAGGTGATCTTTTCAAATCTTTTCCTCCTTTCTTACCTGCTTTAAAATATTTTAGAGTTATAAGATACCATAGCTGTTCAATACATTAGTGACCTAGCACTTTTTCACCATCGCATTTTTCTGAGAATAAATAAATAAAAGTTTCAGAGGGAAAAATGTGTCCTTCAAACTTGGGCCCCCAGCTAAAACTCAGCAAACAACAGCCCCAGGGATTTTCCCTTTGGAAAAGTCTTAACACAGATCAAAGAAATCACTACATCCCAATACGATGATAAGTCCTGAAAAGAATGGAAACAGGCACATGGAAAGGAGCAAATCGCAAGATCTTGTTCTGCTTTATTACAGGAATACGAGCTTCTTTAGACCAGCTTGTTAACTTCTACATTGTTTTAATGTGTCTAATCAGTTTTAATAACAAGCTGTGAACAATTTCTTGACATATTTTTTGTTTTCTTGTAGAAAATATTTGGCACGCTAATTAAAAGATCAATGTGATAAGTCTATGAAAGCTAGAATAATACTTTTCAGTGGGCCTTTAGTATCTGCTGCTGAACTTTGGTTTTTGCACCCCTGTGAATACAAAAATCCATTGATGTTCAAGTCCCATTATATACAGTGGTGTAGTAAAATAGTGTCCCTTACATAAAACGGAAAAATCAAGGCTTGCGATCCAAAGTTTTGGGGGGTGGGGCATTGGAGAATGTTTTCAAACTATGGAGGTTTGTATTCATTGATATGGAAGGCCAAGTGTACACAAGATATTGAATAAAAAGTAGTTAATATAAAATGGGTTTGTGTTTAATTTAAGACAATATTCTATTGGATCTAGACTAGACCTGCGGAAATCAATGAGACTTAAGTTAGAAGCTAAGAAGATACTGGAGAAATAATAGTGTCTCTGAATATGGATTGCTAGTTTTGTGACTCCATTATGAAACTAGAGTCTAAAATGAAGGTTTGATGATGGTATAGGATCCCTGGCTTGTGTAAAGTGTGTGTAAATACCCAGTTTCTAAAAAACATAGTTTTAGGAATGGCCAGCCAGTGGTTGGACTCAGATGTTGTACTCTGCTGAGTTCTTGTTCATGTAGCCAGTTCTGCTGACAATAAGATGTAAGCAGGAACTTTCAAGTCGTGTGTATGGACATAGTTGCATGAATAATAAACCAAAATTCTTCAGAAATCTGACTGATCATGGATACAAACTTAGCTAATGGTTTTAAGATTATTATTATTATTATTATTATTATTATTATTATTATTTGAAACACAACAAGATTAGTACACATAAAACAAGATTACTATGCTGACTGTTGTATTGGATCACACGTCGGACACTTCCCAAGTGTCTGGGACTGTGTGATGTAATGTGTACAGATCCGAATAGCAGCTGACAGATAGTAATTTTGTCAGCGTCAATTGTGTTTAAGTGCAGGCTAATGTCTTTAGGCACGGCACCCAGTGTGCCGATGACCACTGGGACCACTTTTACTGGCTTGTGCCAGAGTCTTTGCAGTTCTATCTTTAAATCGTTGTATTGTGTCAGCATTTCCAGTTGTTTATTATTATTATTATTATTATTATTATTATTATTATTATTATTGACTTAGTAGTAGAAGAACATCTAGCTCTTCTCTGCCAGTTTTTTTGGGGGGGTTTTTTCATTCAGATAAATTATTTCTTCCAGGTGTTCAGATTCATCAAATATTTCTCCAGTGGATGTGAAGACCAGCTATAATGATTCACCCTTTCCTTCCTTTGGAAAGGTAATTGTTGAAAGCACCATTGATGCCAGCATGTTCAAGAACAATGGCACAATCACATGTGAGGCTTCGAATGCCATTGACAGGCGCACAGCTTATTTCAACTTTGCGGTCAAAGGTAACAGCAAAAATTGTTTTTGAAACTTCATTTCAATTGTAGGTATATACTTTACACATGCAATCTCATTCAAAAACTCACCTGCACTCTATAAACTCTCTGAGACCAGAAACATTCTTCTGGTTTATAATACAATCATATTCTATGATGTTGCTATAGAGGTAAATACTTAATTTTTCTTCAATGTGCTTTTGTGTAGCAGGGTTTGAAAATAACTAATCACTTAAATCTAATGTTAATGCCAACTAAGGATAGACCCATTAAATCAATAGTATTTCAATTAATGTCTATTTGTCAATATCCCATTTATTTAACTGGATTTAGACAAATGAGTTACTTGTAATTATATTTTTCCCGTCAATAAAAGTATGATTAAATTATGTGTCCAGAGGAGGGCAGCTAAAATGATCAAAGGTCTGGAGACCATGTCCTATGAGGAGCGGCTCAAAATGCTGGGCATGTATAGCCTTTGAAAGAGAAGGTTGAGAAGATACATGATCACCATGTTTAAATATTTGAAAGGATGTCATAAGGAAGAGGGATCAGGCTGGTTTTCTGCTGCCCTGGAGACTAGGACTTGGAGCAATGGGTTGAAATTATAGGAAAGGAGATTTCACTTGAGCACTAGGAAGAACTTTCTGACCACAAGAGCTGTTCAATAGTAAAACTCTCTGAGTGTGGTGGAAGCCCCTTCTTTTGGAGGCTTTTAAACAGAGGCTAGATGGACATCTGTCAGAGGTACCGTATATTCCAGCATATAAGACAACTGGGCATATAAGACAACCCCCAATTTTTCCAGTTAAAATGTAGAGTTTGGAATATACTCGCTGTATAAGACCACCCTTCTTCCAATGCACACTAAATTAAAAAAAATTAAAAAATCAGATTTGAATTCAATATGGTAATTTTAATTCAAATGTTTATGACATGCAGGTTCCTATGAGAGGGACATTGTACCTTACATTGTACATTACAGTTGTTCTTTCTCCCTTGAATTTCATTTACACTCTGGGTCCTTTACATCATGCTGGCAATAAGTTAAAATAAACAGTTGCATGAAATAATTCTCATTTAAAGCAATTTAAAAAACCAGGCAAGGTAAAGTGTCATATCAGTTCCCTTTTGCCTTCTCTCAGGCTTCTTCTGTTGACGCAGCCTAAAACGGCATTGGCCTTTTCAGCTGCAGCATCACACTATTGGCTCGTGGTCGACGAAGGCATCTGCGAGGAGAGGACGAAGGAGGGAAAGGTGCACCCCTGCGGAGGCCTGCGCTGTCTTCCGCAGCTGGTGAGCGCACCCACCCCTGCTGCTCCCAGCGAGGCTTCCAGCCTCTGRCTACAGCCTCCAGGAGCAATGCGGCATTGGCCAGATGCTCCATTGGCCCCAATTGGGCCCAGGAAGGAGGGAGGCAGCGRGAGGAAGGCTGCCRTCCAACCTCCTTMCTCACACTGCCTCTTTCCTTGGGCCCAGCTGGGGCCCAACGGAGCATCTGGCCCACGCCAGGAGGCTGTTGACATGCTGGAAGCCTCTCCGGAAGCAGCAGGGGTGGGTGCACTCACCACCTGCAGAGGTCAGCACAGGCCTCTGCAGGTGTGCACCTTTCCCTCCTCCGTCCTTGCCCCGCAGATGCCTTCCTCACAGGACACACAGGACAAGAGAGGAGGGAAAGGTGCACACCTTTCCCTCCTCACTCACYTGCCTTTCCTGTCTCCACCYCCGAGGAAGGCATCTGCYGGGCAAGGACGGAGGAGGGAAAGGTGCCAGACTCTCCGTTGGGCCCCAGCTGGMCCCAGTGAAGAAAGAGACAAGGAGGTCAGAGGGCAGCCTTCCTCATGCTGCCTCCCTCCTTCCTGGGCCCAATTGGAAGGCAGGCAGGCAGGCCGCTGCGAGCAGAGGTTCTCCTCCGCTGCCTCAGCTGTGTCAGCTCCGCTGCCGCTGCCATTCGTCATCAAGTATATCCGGAAGATAAGACGACCCCCAACTTTTCAAAGGATTTTAAAGGTTTAAAAAGTCATCGAATACCCCGGAATATACATACTTGTGCTTTCTCTGCATGGGAGAGGGTTGGACTGGATGGCCCAGGTGGTCTCTTCCAACTCTATTATTCTATGATATGGGGAGAACGTTACAGAAGCACCGACCCTTTCTACCCTTTTTGAATGCCTAGGTTGGAAATTGGACTAGATGGCCCATGTGGTCTCTTCCAAGGCCTTTAATCTATCATTCTAATTACTCTTTGATATAATTTACCAAGCTCTGCTGTATTCTTTAATATATTATATACATGTTTAATCTCCGATTTCATATACTGTAACTCCAAAACCAGTGTTCCCATTTTCCAAGAATATTATTCTTTTCCTCAAAACAATGAGTTAATTATATTGCTCTGTAGCTTTTTAATTGCTTTAATGGCATATTGGAATGATAGCCAAATTATTGTTATAGTTCTCTTTATTGAAGATTTAAACAACTTTTTTTGTTTTTGTTTTGCTTATCTCATTCTAGAACAAATCGGTACTCATACCCTTTTCACCCCTTTGTTAATTGGCTTTGGAGTCGCAGCTGGTCTCATGTGCCTCATAGTCATAGTTCTTGTGTACAAATATCTTCAGGTAAGAGCTTTGAGTAAATAAATTCAACAAATAGAGGTGTATTAAGCATCCTTTAACTGATTTCTGACCTCACATTGGGAGTTTGATCACTCAGAATATTGTATCTGTCTTCCAGAAACCCAAATATGAGATTCAGTGGAAAGTGGTAGATGAAATAAATGGAAACAACTATGTTTACATAGACCCAACACAGCTTCCTTATGATGACAAATGGGAGTTTCCAAGAAACCGGCTAAGTTTTGGTTGGTTTGTACACATTTGATTTTGATAGTGAATTAAAAGTTGTCAACAAAACTGTATTGTACTCTGAAGTGGCGGGGGGCGGGGGGGAGATAATAATGTTAACATTATTGTACAGGTCATTTGAGGAAATTGTTTTACTTTTAGGGGTGGCCAAAGCCCATCACAGATTTATGGCCACCTGCAAATCCTGGAGCACCATGGTACCCACAAACAGTTCCTCCAGCTTGTTTGCATCCTCCTTGATTTTTGGCTACCATTGGCTGGTGCTCCTATTGAGGAAATGGATAGGGAAAAAACCCTGCAAATATTTTGCAGATAATACATAAATATACCCTGTTTCTAAAATACAGTATGACCCTTTTATCCATGGACTTGATATCCACAGTTTCCCTTGCCCACATATAATAATATAATAATAACTTTATTTTTATACCCCGCCAACCATCTCCCCTAGGGGACTCGGCATGGCGTACAAGGGACACGCTCAAGATTACAATTAAAACACACATGTAAAACACTTTAACCAATTAAAACATCAGATAAAACAAATAACAACACAATTGAAAGCAATATAAAAACAATACGGCCGAAAGAAACATAGCTGAGGTATATATTTAGTGTGTGCAATACATTTTTACAGGAGTGCAGGAAAGTGCAACAATACAGTAAACTGGGCAGGAAATACTGTCATAACACATGTTGAGGTAGACGCATGCCAGTGTAAAGTGTGGGCCGGTGTAAAGTGCGGAACTTCAAGTAGGGACAAGAAAGTTACTGGTGAGCTGCTTAGTCAAAAGCGCACCGGAACATCCAGGTTTTTAGTTGACTATGAAAGGAGGACAGTAATAACACTCCATGGCCCAGGAAGTGTTTGTGGGTTGCCTAGATCCTCCAGTGCTATTCTATGGAAAGCTTCTGGCCCAAGTATAGTCAAAATACATTTTTTTGCTATTACCTATGACTTCAAGTATCTACATGAGAAGTTTGGAACATATCCCCACAGATACAGGAGTTATACTGTAATTTCTTTTCTTTTCTTTTCTTTTCTTTTTTGGTGCCCTAGCTTTTGTATAATCTGGTCCCCAGCCAAACCACAAAATATATTACAAACCTTATTGGACACTAGAGCACCCATTCATTCATGCATTCATGCATGTGTTTGTTATATTTCACATGTCAAAAATTAAGAAATGGGAAGAGGAGAGAGGATGGACAAAGATTTGTTATCTGATCATTATGCTGGATATTGCGCCTGTTGCAAATAGTGACAATTTTTCCTGCCCCCTCATTTTTTGTTGCATTGATTGATTCACAAAAGAATCCATGGATGCAGGGAGACTTAGCTTGATATAGTGGTTTGAATACTGGACTATTTTTATGGAGACCAGGGTTCAAATGTGCACTCAGTCATGCAACCCCATTGGATGACCTTAGGCAAGTCACACTCAGCCTCAAGGGAAGGCTCCTCCTGAACAAATATTGCCAAAAGAACTCCAGGATAGGTTTTTGGGTTGTCATGTGTCTGAAACAAGTTGAAGGCACACAATAACAGCAACATGGGTGCATGGGATCTTTTCTTTGGATTTCTTTGTTTAATCGAAAAGATCAAAACTGATTAGCTTATTTTGTACATTATATGGTTAATTTGCATGGCTAATCTGTTTTCTTAAATATTTGCACTTTTTATCTCTGGAAATCATGCAGGCAAGACTCTAGGAGCTGGAGCTTTTGGGAAAGTTGTTGAAGCAACTGCCTATGGTCTGTTCAAACCTGATGGAGCATTGAGAGTAGCTGTAAAAATGCTCAAGCGTAAGTTATGCAGCCTCCATTCATTTTCTTTGTTTTAGTTAATGTCTCTTGATTTGGCACTCAATGGGGCCCCAAAATCAAAATGTGAAATCATACAATAAATCAGAGAGCTGCTATAGTGTACTAGTTTTGAGTGCTGAACTATGACTCCTGCTCATCCATGGATGCCTAGTGGGTGTGACTTGGGGCAAAAATTAAACCCACAAATGTGGAATGTTCACCATCCTTTAGATGGTCATTGACATTCCTCTTTTCTCTTTTAGTTGCCATATGTAAAGCCACCTTGAGTTTCCTTCAGGGAAGAAAAAGACGGAATACAAATAGAGCAAATAAATAAATAATCTCTACAAAGCTGTGATCCTGTAGTTTAATAGAATGTTGCATTTGCTTTAGAGGTGAAACTTTCCAAATGAATTTCATAAGTAAGAAAATGTCCCATAACAGAAAAGGCATGAGGGTAGTGTGAAGCTCCTTAAACATATTAAAGCGTACAGTGACACCCTGACTTAAGAGCATCCCAACTTAAGAGCATTTTGAGTTAAGAGCAGTTGCTTGGCCATGCTTCGCTTTGACATAAGAACCTTATTTTTTGTTAAGGGGGAGTGCTAGTACTAGAGTACAGGGTTTTAGGGCTTCAAGGAAGCAGCTTCTATGCCTCGTGCTCTTGTTCACTTTGGGAGATTACGGTCTGCTTTGCTCTTATTCAATTTGGATTACTTGATTTTGTGTGGTTTTTATTCCTTGTATGTTTGGCTTCATGAAGAGAGATAGAGAGCAAGAGAGGCTGGAATGAGTAGAGTATGAAGAAAATGATTCTTCTGCCTCTTCACTTTGTGCTTCCTTGCCACAACTTTGTGCTTCTACAATTTTAAAGTTGATTTTTCTTTTTATTGTCCCATGTGAATGTGCATTTATACATTATATGTTATTTATAAGGTACATTTTCTTATTTAAAAACACACAGCAAAAATTGGGAGGTTCGCTTTGAGATAAAAGCATTTTGAGTTAAGAGCTCAGCCATGCAACGATTTAAACTCTTAAGTCAATGTATTACTATATCTATGTGAGAAAGCAGCCAGGCTTATATGCTAACCTGTGACTATCTTCTGCTCCTTTACTTGCTGAGCCTCATTTTTCTTTCTCTAGCCAGTGCCCATTTCACCGAAAAGGAAGCCTTGATGTCTGAACTGAAAGTACTGAGTTATCTTGGCAACCATATTAACATTGTGAATTTACTAGGAGCCTGCACAATTGGAGGTATGGTTTTTGACAATTTCTTGAGATAAAAACCTACAGTGCTTCTAGGGCACTATTTCTAATCAGAAAGGCACATCCATGAGTGGTTTCAGGTTTGCATGGGAAAAATAGCTTCAGTTTCATGTCGGGTATCCAGGTAAAGAGAACTGGACGGGTCTGTGGGCCTCAGAGCAAATTAAACTCAACTAGTAATGCACTAGTAATGAATTGCCGTCAACCCTCCATATTCGTTGTTGTTAGGTGCACAAGAACACTGTGAAAGTGAAAAATTCAATTTTTTTATCTTAGAGAAAACTTCTTTAGGGTCTAGGTCTTCCACTGGAAGCCAGCCACAGGATTGTATTGGAGAACCTACAACTTCCTAGTGAGGGATCCTAGGTCCTCCAGAATGACAGGAGGAATTTGGCCATAAAGTCACATTGAAGGACTTTAAAATTCCTAGAGAGAACATTTTTAATCAAGTCTGTGAATAATCAAATCTGCCAAAACCGCAAATTAGGGATAAATGTAATAACCTGAATCTGAGTCCTTATAGAACTAGAACAATGCCATCCTTGCTCAAGAGACAGAGATTTATAATCAGAATGTTTAGGAAAATCCCAAGCTTTACAAAACTATTTACAAAAACTACAAGGGCCAAGAAACCTAAAGAGAAAATGAGCCAGGACAACTTAGGGAAGACAAACATGCCCAGTGGACCCAGTGTGCAAATGCAAGTCATTATTTGTTATTCAGGTTGCTGCTACTGTTCCTCCTCTTCACCTGTGCTGGAAAGTATAACTTGCATGCAAGTTTTTGACACATCTGAATGAAACTGGAGCTTCAAGGCTCTCCCAAATTGCATCTAGGTTGCTTAATGTTAGGCAGCTTTAAAGAACTATTTTAAAATTCTACGTCTGTATGAACAAATATGTGTGGGGTCTGTTCTGTTTGTTGTCAATACTCTGCTTTAAGAAGCAGGCAGTCCTGTATATCTCTGTCTGTCCTGATTGAAACATTAATCCATAATTACAAACTTAACATTTTAGCTCCAAATTTCTGAAAATGCAAAACAAAAATAACCAAAAGGCAATCGTATAGTAAAAGTGGAGGTTCCTGTCTAAGCTCAAAGCAAATATGTAGTACATCAGTGTCAGTTCAAGTTGAACAAAATTTCTTTTGAAACAGAGTGACTCATTCAACACATTCATGCACACTTTTCCCTTCAGGCCCTAAATGTTAGTACCCCTTAGTCAAAATGTGTACCTATTTGAATTCACCAAAATTGGAAATTGTATTTTGAACTGCCATATAAGTCACACTATGTGTCTTTATGTATTTTAATAAAATTAGATCTAAGAAAAATAAGGTAGGAAACTTAACTTCAAAGACATAAACATACAATTGCAGAATGATTCAGTTTTGCAATTCAGTTAAAGTAAGCCTTAGAAAAATGAGGAAAATCCTAGAAATTCGCATACATGCCCAAGAAGCTCCAGAGGAAAATATGTTTTCTTAGAAGCCTCATAGTTTTGACAACAAACAAATAATGCATACAGAAGAAGTGAGATATTTGTCAGCAGTCTCATCAAATTGATCTCTCATGTGTCTCTCTTGGCTTAGCTCTGAGGAGGCCTAAAGCTAAAAAATGAGGAAAGGAGGAAACAAGATAATGCGTGAAATTAGGCAAAAGTGCTCCATGCAGACACTTCAAGTGGAAGTACTAATGAAACGTGCCTTGAATTGGAGGTTGGCCTAGAACCCCATCTCCACTGATGTCTCTCCCTGAAATACAGCACTATGTACCATTCCTCATATGCTGACTCCACTGCCACTGATATTCCTATTACTCCAAAAAGACCCAGAAAGTAGTGGAGGTCTTTGAGTTGATATAAGCTAATCTGTGTATAAGAGAACTATCCAAGATCCTAACTTCAGAATCCCAGACAATAGTATTAGATATTCAAATGACTGAATCAGGCATTGAGAAAACCCATTTTTATATAAAAACAATTGAGACTTTATTTCTTTTTCTGACCCTGAATAACAGTTTTGAAAGTCCGGAAGATCTCACTTTGTGTCTTAGTGAGCTTATTCAATCTGAATTGTTTTTTCCTGAATATAATATTTTATACCATTTCCAAAACATTACTGTAAGAGTGAGATGTCTTTCTATAAACAAAAGTGAATCAAAGGATTAATGTGAGAAGCTTACATTTGGAACAGATCACTTCCTTCAGGAAGGGCTCCAAAATGAAACAGATGTGTCTGGTTTGCACCATTATTACAAGACTTATTTAATTCGTGTATGTGTGTGCTTTTAACACTGCAGTCCTATTGATGTGTGGAAATAATTAATTGGGAATGACATCTTCTTAATTGTAAATAGGGCCCAGGTCCTGAATAGAGATGCTGCTGATGTAATTTCACCCTGACTTTTCAAGCTGAAACGCTGCTCTGTAGTTCTGTTTGAAACAGGCTATTTTTATGCACGTGGCCCAATAATCTTTTTATTATGTCTGAGCCAGAATACAAAATGTATTCACCACTTCTAACTTCCTCTGCATCTGCAGGTCCTACCCTGGTCATCACGGAGTACTGCTGTTATGGCGACCTTTTGAATTTTCTGAGGAGGAAACGTGATTCTTTTATTTGCCCAAAGCATGAAGAAACGGCTGTTTACAAGAACCTCCTCCATCAAAAAGAACACATGTAGTAAGGATTTGGTGCCAATTCTTGTATCCATTCTGTGATAGGACGGGTTTTTGTTTATCACATTTCATTTTCACTCTTTCTTCTCAGAGGATTCAGGATGGCTACATAGAATTGTTCTATTTGCCAAAGCTGGCTTGTTGTCTAAGGAGTGGGAGATGCCTCACCCTGAGTTTTTTTCTATATTTTATGTTTACAGCTTCCCTCTTGTGTTGTGTCCTCTATGCAGCCTGCCTTTCTTTAGCAATAGACATCCAATTATTGAATATAGGCTTTTTGTGTCTTTGAATCATTATGAATTGGGTCTTTATAGACAGACCCCATAGTAAGCTTAGCACCAGAAGAAAATGTCTATATTACTTGCAAGCCACACTGGAAACAAGTCTATCCTGAACAAAAATGAAAACACATACATAGTAGTTAGACTTTAATAAAAGCTGTAACTTCATTTAGGAATGACACAGTCATTGAAGTTTTATTGAGTTCAAATCTCTTTCCAGTTCACCGCCTGTTCAGCTTTTGTGCTACTCAAATACCTAGATTGTTTGGGCTAAATATGTCTACTCTTTCATTCGCCTTCAGTGCTGAAGGCTCAGAGCATGTGAAGACCCAATCCGTTCTGCAGTTGAGTTACAGATCTGCTCAGTATCTGAGCAGGTCTGTAGCCTATCATCTTAGGTCTTCTCCCCTTTAGGTGAGAAGCCAAACTCTTTCCCATCATGCAAGCAGTAAAGTTAAATGCTCTAAATCAACAATAGTTTGAACCTTCCACATTTTTAATCATTCAAGAGTTCCAAGGTCTTGGGAAGGTCTGCATCTGACTTTTATTAGTCTCTTCACATTATTGGACTTGAATATTCGCTGATTACTGTATTTTCCACTGCCTCCACTGCTATCCTGTATGCAACCAAAAAGATACATTCTCTAGACATTTCTAGGTCCTCCAGCATGATTCTGTGGTCAATATCTGACAGGAGGGTCTAGCAATGAACTGTCTTTGAAGGCATTTGTGATTTGTAGTTTTTCTACTTTTGCAGGTATCATGTGCCCCTAATTCCCACAAAGTTTTAAATCACTGGTAGAGGTTGCAATTGCTGGTAGAGGTTGCAAAAATCTCTCCAAGCAAAGAAAGGTTAAGTTGAAACCTTCTCTGTGACATCCTATTTTCTGTAAATTTATCTTTGGTTTTGAATGAGGTCAATATATCAGGGCTGTAATCTTTAGATTGCGAGCTGTGGCCTCACCAATAGTTACTTTTTTTTCATTTTCTTATTCATGGGAATTTTAAGCCCAGACTTTAAAAGCATGTTCAAATGCCTACTGTAACCTCTAGTGAGTGTTTGGGAACTCTATGTTCTGTCTTTGATTCACATGTCTTTTTAACCCAGAACATTCTGTTTAGTTTAATTAAGGTTCATTCAAAACACCTCATCTTAAAACTATTGATTAGGAAATTGGTTTCCATCTATAAATCATAGTTAACAGTAGTTAACCATAGGAAACTGTGGTTTACTGTGAATTCAAACACCCATGAAAATGAGAAATAGTAAATTAACAAATGAATTAATAAGTATTTCAGATCATAGCTAGTTTAGGTAAGGAGAGAGTACAGTTAACAAAAAATAACTTTTCTGAAATCCAAAGCATCAGCTTACAAATCACTCTAATTGATGGCATCCTAAAATTCCTTCATTTACCAGCAGTCAAATGAAGGGGCTTTTAGTCACAATCACTTACTGTATATTCTCCTTTGTTTTATTGTTAATTAAATATTAAATATATTTCTTAACGTTCAGTGTAAAATATTGTTTGCTTTCCAAGACATTTATTCTTTGAGTTGCAAAGATGTCCTCTTTTTTCCATACAGTGATGCTACCAATGAATATATGGATATGAAACCTGGAGTATCTAAAGTTGTCCATGCCAAAACTGCTAAAAGAAGTCCAGGAAGGACAGGTGAGTTGGTAGGAGGGAAAGTAGAACGCCTTCTCTTTTGGAATTGTCCATTTTTTTAAACTTGAATAGTCTACATTGAGGTTTTTAAGTGGGATAGCAGTCAGATTTCAATAAGATGTTCAGAATAGCTTCGTGTTTTCATAGCAGATTATATGTTTGAGGAGCATTGCTGTGTTAATTTGGTATCATGCTCTGTTAATAGAAAGTCTGCTATCTTCCCAAACAGCCATAATTAATCCATTTGTACCTTGTTCCTGCATCTGTTGCTTAGGATCATTTGTTAATCAGGATGTCACCATTGCCATCTTAGAAGATGATGAATTGGCTCTGGATATTGAAGACCTATTAAGTTTTTCTTACCAGGTGGCAAAGGGAATGAGCTTTCTGTCCTCCAAAAATGTAAGTCAGAAACATGGAAAATAATGATTTCTTTTCATACAGCGTGACATTAAATGGTGCATATTTTCCCTGTTGGATAATCTTTTTGAAAAGGAGTCAACTTATATCTTGCCTGTATTTTAAGCAACTTTTAAAAATTGTGCCCTCATTTATGGCTCATGTAGGTACTGATTTATAGAGTCAACCATTGGTTGGTTTCACCTAACTTTATTTTCTTTATACAAAACATACAAAATGTTTGGACCCAGTTATGCAGCGTCTTTGATGGAAGAACCCCTAAAGCAAACAACAAATTCCATCCCAAAGGCATAACTTAGAAGCATATTCGTTTGATTTCCATGGAACTTCCTTCTAATTAACTATGCAGTGAGTCATGTTCTAAATTGGCAGTCTCAGAAGGATAAGGTACAGTTTGTAGAGAAAAAGGTAAACAGATTAAATGAAATAAAATCATCTTAGAAAGTGACACAAGGCAATGTGGAGTAAACTAATTAAATACAGATTCTTCCTATAGTTACCTTGGAACAAACCACTCTCGAAGGAACCTGGTGTAGGATCCTTGATGAATTATTTTGTTCTGTCACTGGAACTTTGACAAGAATATTAAGACAAAGTACCATTCCTGCCAATCTTTTTAGGAAGAGCAGAAGTCATTCCGTGAATTACACATTTACATCTTCATTATAAGTCATCGTTAGGAGAATCAGATAACTAAGAATGACAGAAACCCCATAGCAACTTTTTTAGAATCATAGAATTGGACCAGACCTCATGGGCCATCTAGTCCAACCCCCTGCCAAGAGGCAAGAAAATTGCATTCAGAGCACTCCTAACAGATGGCCATCCAGATTCTGTTTAAAAGCGTCCAAAGAAGAAGCCTTCACCACACTCCGGGGCAGAGAGTTCCACTGCTGAACAGCTCTCTCAGGAAATTCTTCCTAATGTTCAGATGGAATCTCCTTTTCTGTAGTTTTAAGCCATTGTTCCGTGTCCTTGTCTCCAGGGCAGCAGAAAACAAGCTTGCTCCCTCCTTCCTATGACTTCCCCTCACATATTTATACATGGCCATCATGTCAACTCTCAGCCTTCTCTTCTACAGGTGTCTTTATATTTTCTTTTTCTCCATATTTCAAATTGTTTACAAGGTCTCTCTATAGTGTTTCACATCACAAAATACTCGTTTTGAGGACCAGAAGTTGATTCTTGGCAACTTTATTTTTACTTTTCAGTGGTTCCCCACTCAATAGCTCTCAGGATATAAAACTGGCCCCTGTTTTAAATGAGAAAAGCCAAGATACATTTGATTACATGTGTGCCCCCCCCCCCCCAACCTAGACTGCTCTTCACAGTACTGGTGCACAATTATTTCTGTTTATTGATATAGTGTGTATATCTTTTGTTGTTGTGTCTATTCCATTCAGTGCATCCATAGAGACTTAGCAGCACGCAACATCTTGCTCACTCATGGACGGATCACAAAAATCTGTGACTTTGGTCTTGCAAGAGACATTAGGAATGACTCAAACTATGTTGTCAAAGGAAATGTAAGTATGTTTGGATATCACCTTTATCTGTATAAAGCAGTGGTTCCCAACCTTTTTTTGACCAGGGACCACTCTCCAACATTAGCACCAAAAGGGTTATGAATCAGATTTTGGTCAATTACAGATTCGGTTTCATTATTTGGGGTGCTAATTGCATTGGATAGACCACATCAGCTCCAGTTTCTGATACAGAATGTATGCCATTCAGTAGTTGCCATCTGCTTGTCCACAGAAAACTATATTTATTAAGCCTCGGCACTAAAAGGGATTTTTGCAAAACCAGTCACTCTTGTTGCAATAGTGAAGTAACAGTGAGGCTGTGGACCATATTTTAGTTTTTTGCAAACTACTGGTGGTCCACAGACCACAGGTTGGAAACCACTGGTATAAAGCATACTGTAAACCCTCCCCTGATTCCTAATGGCCATTGACTTTTTTTCAAAATGTGTATGTACAGAAATGTTCTGCCTAGAAAGCACAGCTTAGAATGGGGGTGAGGGTAGGCAGCGGAAGCAACATGGGCTGGATGTTCTAACAGAAGGTATGAAGGAGGTGCCTTGTGTCACCTGTTCACGACAAATGGCCTCCCCTCAAATAAACTTCCTCTCAGCTAAATCGCTATATTAAAGCTGTAATCTCTTCCTGTTTACTGGAGGTGGGAACATCGTTGAAACCATCTCCTGAGATAATGAAGATCTGTCTCATCCAAGGCTCAAGCAAAGATGACTGCATTCCTTCCTTTTAGATCTTTTTTTGCTACCACTACTTTTTTCCTACAGATTTCATTATGAGATGCAGGCAGTTAAGCGGAGATAAAGAATCTGAGCAGCAAAACTAGCAAATTTAGGAAGGAACCACCTCAATAGCATATCTGTGTGCTGAGAAACTGTATTCAGACAACTGCTTTAATTTCCAGCCTCAGTCTAATTAACTCCATCCTTGGGGCTTTTTTTTCCCTTTAAGCGTAAGACAACAGCTTGCAGGTGGGCAGTAAGTAATTGCACTCCATTTGTCTAAATTAAGGGGTTTCAGTGTCCTGAGTTGCCTGATGTTTTATGGCATGAAAGAGGGCTTAGCTGCAGCTGTTAGCAACCAGGGAGAGAAGATGTCCTGTAATTGTGTCTGGCATAATCTCAGAGCAGATGCTAAGGAGCCCTCCCAATCACTCTGGAAAGTGACAGCAGGCAGTGTCTCCCTCGAAGTATGACAAGAACAGATTTGCTCTTCCTTGCGTGATCAAAGATATCGCTTGAAGCTCTAATTCAGAGATCTTACTTCATACAGTTAGACGAAGTAGTTAAGCAAATTGCTTTCTGTCACCAACACAGCAAGTTCTTGTACTCCACAGCAGTAACTTTGGTGTTTATTTCAACCACTGAAAACACCAAATGTGGAGTTTTCCAGTTGGGCAATCACGCCAGTCCCACCAACTGTGAGGATTCCTCTCACCATCCCACCACTTTGGCCAAATATAGGAATCTTTACCATTAAGCCCACCAAATGTGAAGCATTTTGCAATGTGAGGGCTTTCCCTCATCCCATGTCTGCTATGCTTAAGGACCTATTCCTGGCTCCCTTGTGTGGGATCAGTCTAAATGCCTTCAAAGTTTCTATGAAGATTCATATTGCTTTTATCCCACCTTCAACAGTGCCTCCACAGACACTTTGTCTGAAACCAGATTCTCAGATTGATAATTACAGAAGCTAAAGTATGTAAAAACAAAACCTTTATTACAGAATTTAAACATAAAAGAGCAGAGCATTTATACATAACCTTTAAAATACCTTTTATTTCAAGCTAAATCAGACCCTCACCAATCACTCAACTTGAACTCATTTCTCTTCAGTCCTTGTCTAAGTCAACTCCCTTTTCTTGTTGCAGTTTTTTTTTCAAATCCTTGGCTACAACCAATTTACCTCTCCATCTGAACTCACATTTGTTAGATGACAATTTCATGCAAATCTCCTTAAACATTCCTCTAGTCAGCATCCACCAAAACACTCAATTGTCTCTCCACTCCCAGCAGCTACTTACTGCATGGTAACCCAACAAAACAGACAACATTTTTTGATATACAAACCCATGACATCACAATAACTTTGGTGAAATCAACTATGTGGCCCTTTGAAATGTCATGGGTCGTCATCACAGGCTGGAATCCCAATTACATGAGTCTTTTTGATTCTATAGGATTTACGTTATGCTGACTTGCCATTCAGCGGTTGACTCATTAGCTCTGTTCTATCTCGGTCTTGCTGTTAGAATTAGGCTTTAAGCTATAAAGGTCACCATAAGGTTGCAGAAAATGAATTTGTAATAGCAATATGAAAAAGTAGATGAGGCATTTCATGAATATCCTAGCCGTAATAGTATTAATAATCTTGTTTTTTTTTTTAAAAAAAGAACCAGAAGTGGTTCAAAGGAGTAGTAATTTAGTATAGCCCAAAGGAGGACACATTACAACTTCAGCTTAATTTTCATTTTCACAGAACCGCTTATATAAACACATGCACTGTATCAAAAATTGTTACAGAAGGTCCCTTTAGTTTCATAAATGATTTGTTGCACGGCATAAGCCTCTGCTGTTTGAGATGATGTCCCATTCAAATACAAAACTATTATTTACTTAGTTGTTTGTCCTAAGATCCTTTTGTCCCAACTAAATGTAGAACCATTAAAACAATAGCATCTTGGCAAGTCAGCACTTTACACTTGACTGACTCAACAGGTCCCCTCTTTCAATGACTAACCATGGGATTTAGGCATTTGATTTTTAAGTTTCCAAGTTTATAGTACAAAAATTTAAATATTTGTGAAGATGTGAGTTAAAATTTCTTTAATCAAATAAAACCTAAAAGATGGGGAAAAAGGATTCAATAAAACAGTGTTGAATAAATATGAAGACCATAACCTTTGTAATATGTATGATTAATTTTCTGTGGGTATTGCTAAAATGTTGAGGGTTGTCAGAATTGCCATACATTTTAAGGACCTTTAGATTACATATAGTTGAACTGCAAATATGCCATCACCATCTTCATAATTTTAGCAATTTATGAGACATAAGACAAATAATTCTTTGTTGGAGCGGGGCAGAAATAAATGCCTCCTTCCAATGATATCAGATTGGATCTTAAAAGACAATAATGGAAGATCACAACAATACACTCAAATGAATTTTCTTCAATATATATATCTCACTTTTTGCCTTGGTAGTATCTTTGTAGCTCCTTGTATTCTAATAGTGATCACTTTCTCAGTGGGTTGTATAATAATTGGAGCTGTAAACTGTAATTGATTTAATTGGTAGACTCATCAACAAAGGCTGCAGTGATAAATCAGTGAGAACCAATTTTAACTGTCAGGGCTTGCAGTTAAGAACACTTAGGAAGTATCTATATAGGAGGCTTATATGTTGCCTTTTTATTGAATGATCTTCAAGGCAGCTTAAAGCAAATTTCCACAATGAACACAAACCCTATCACTAAGCCCATCTCATCCAGTGAGCTTAGCCTCTTGACCAGTGAGTGGGGTGAGACCACTGTGCTATACCTTCCATCTATTCTGCAGTCACAGAATTGTAGGGTTGTTCTTTCAAACAGGGAGAATGAACCACAGCTTCTAGCTCTTTCCATGGCCCTTTGGAAGGAGAGAGGGAGCTTGGTCTTCCTTTCCTTGTGGTTTTTCCTTGAAGGCAAATGTTACGTCATCCCAACAGTCCTTGGTCCCTTGCCTGATGCGTATGGCCAAAGTCTGATATCCATTCCTGTTAAGAGTAATAAAAGATGAATGAAGAATAATTAATTGCAGTTATTACATCTAAAATAAGGGGTATTTTTTGTTCAATAAAAATAAAACTTATAGTCAACTTTCCCCATTTTAGTAATGTACACAAGAAATTGTGAGTATCTACTGGGGCTGGTTCCAGTATCCACAAGGAATACCAAATTCTGTGGTTTCTCAACTCTCATTATATACAGTAGTGTAGTAAAATAATGTTCCTTATATAAAACTAGCCATCCCCTGCCACATGTTGCTGTGGCCCAGTCTGTGTATATATATATATATATTGTGTGTATATATGTGTGTATATATTTGTGTATATGTGTATTTATGTGGTTAAGCGCATGCGGTGTAATGTTTTTTTATTTTTTGGCTTTTAAAATCTATTTTGCTGTATTTTTCAGTGTTTTTATGAGTGATGGTCACTTGTTGGCCTGATAGGTGTATTGTGTCCAAATTCAGTGTCAATTCGCCCAGTGGTTTTTGAATTATGTTAATTCCACAAATGAATATTATATTTTTATTTATATACATGAAAAAAATCAAGGTTTACTTTTAGTAAATGTTAAAAATAATCTTAAGATGTACATAGTTGAATTTGTGAATCCAGAATCCTTGGGTACAATGGGGCATTTGTATGTTCAAATATAGTTAATCACTGATTACTCTGTTCAAAGGCAGATGGATCATTGGCTAAAAATCTTTAGCCCATGACAGTCTTACTATCATAAAATACATTTTAGTATGGGATAATTCTTAATCTTCCCATTCATTGTCTTGCTTCCTTTCACAGGCACGACTTCCTGTCAAGTGGATGGCACCTGAAAGCATTTTTGAGTGTGTATACACATTTGAGAGTGACGTCTGGTCTTATGGAATTTTGCTTTGGGAACTCTTCTCTCTAGGTAAAACACGCTTGGCTTTTGGGTTTCTGCTTCATGCAACTCAACAAGATTACTACTTGGATGTTTTATTTCTCCCCATTTTTCAAACACGCTATGATATATTGACATTTGCTGTGTTGACAGGAGGCAGCCCCTATCCTGGAATGCCTGTGGATTCCAAGTTCTATAAAAGGATTAAGGAAGGATACAGGATGTTTAGCCCAGAATTTGCACCTGCTGAAATGTGAGAGACCAGACTTCTTACAATTCCGAAATGGAAAATGACAAGCGTCCAGTTTTTGATTTAAATAACTGTCCTTTGTTTTCTGTCTTTGGGAAGTTGCTGTAGTGAAGGAAAATCTTAATTATATTCTGAATATTCATAAGATTCCCTATCACTGACATACAGCTGTTCCTAAATTGTTTTCTTGAAAGTAAGCCCCTGTGAAATCAATGGGATTGATGTCCCAAGTATATCTGCGTGAGATTGGGATATTAGTTTACCGAATCATTTGTACTCAAGAGTTGAGTGCTTTCTGTGCAATATAAACATAAAACTGAATATAAAATCAAAACACTCAGGTGAATTAAACCCTCCACCAAGAAAATCTGTCACCAATCAACATGACGAAATTACCTCAATTAGGTACAATACTTATAAATACTACCTCCTTATTTGTCAGTTTTGATTGACCAGCAGCTTTGCAGGGATATAGGTTGTCTTCTCTTGGTTCTCTTTCTGAGATCTTGGACATTTGGCTTGCAGAGGCCATGTTCTACAACTGATATATGCTCCCTTTTCATATTTGTTAATTTTTGTACAATTATGTTTTAGCTGATATTAGAGGGGTGGAATGACATAGGCTTGACACTTAAACCACACTTTTGCTCCAGTGGCTAGAAATCCTTCTCCAGCAGGGCCACAGCTATCTTTTGAAGCTTTTTCTGCAGCATTGATGGTGTTTACATGTGTGCTAACTTTTAATCTAGAAATTAATTCAGTGGACTAGCAGTTGAATTTAGGCCTATAAATTGTAGTCTACAACAGCCTTTTTCAAACTTTGGTCCTCTAGATGTTTTGACTTTTGCTCCCAGAATTCCTGACCCTTAGTACCTCTGTGAGTTAAGGTCTAAAGCAGGCACGGGCAAATTTGGGACCTCCCATTGTTTTAGACTTCAACTCCCACAGTTCCTAACAGCCAATAGACTGTTAGGAACTGTGGAAGTTGAAGTCCAAAACACCTGGAGGGCTGACAAGATAGGATTCTTGTTGTTGTGGTTGTGTGCTTTCAAGTCATTTCAGACTTAGGTTGACCCTGAGTGAGGGCCGGGTAAATAACATTGGAGGGCCGTATTCGGCCCCCGGGCCTTAGTTTGAGGACCCCTTCTCTAGGGTTATTTTATTTATTTATTTATTTATTTATTTATTTATTTATTTATTTATTCCCCTTCTTTCTTTCTTGACCAAGACCCAAAGCATCTCACAACATTAAAAACAATGCTATTTAAAACCTACATCATATCTATGGAGAGAGAGTTAAACCCACAATAAATAAAACAAGTCAGGTAAAATTACTTAAAACAAGTAAAACCTGTTACAGTACTTAAAATACTATACAGCTCCCCAGTCTCATTCTTAAAAATGTTCTGCTTTAAAAGAATTGCCTAACAAAATGACTTAAAATTGAACAACAATAAGCATTCATAACCAAACCAGTTGTAGCACTTTGATATATCATTTACAACTTGACAATGGATATAAGGCTGGGGCCTGCACTTAAGAGCAAAAAGCTTCAGTAGAATCCAGTGGTCAATTTTTTGAATGATAGTTTGAAGAAATAATGACAAGAATGCCTGTGATTAATTCACCTTATCTCACCACAAGTCAGAAATGAGTTGAAGGTGAATAATAAGGTTTATCACTACCTTTTCTTTGAGGCTGTGAGTGTGTGACTTGCCCTGAGTCATTCAGACACAGCCCCCGGTGGTGCAGTGGGTTAACCCCTGTGCCAGCAGGACTGAAAACTGATAGGTTGCAGGTTCAAGTCTGGGAGACCATGGCTGAGCTCCCTCTATCAGCTCCAGCTCCTCATGTAGGGACATGAGAGAGGCCTCCCACAAGGATGGTAAACCATCAAAACATCCAGGTGTCCCCTGGGCAATATCCTTGCAGATGGCCAATTCTCTCACGCCAGAAGTAACTTACAGTTTTTGAAGTCACTCCTGACACAACAAAAAAAAAATCAGACTGAGAAGTAATAGCTGGGTGGGAACTTGAACTCTAGTTTCCTAGAATCGTAGTATAATACTCAAGAATATTACAGTACACTCATTGGCTGAATGTGCATTCATTCTGTTTTCTGATTTTTTTCCCTTTGGTTGACCTGTAGACTTAATAGTTTGTTTTGAAAACAGACTTTTCTAATGTTTGTAGTCAATGCTTTATCTGCTGCTAAAATCTGAGTTGATGCATTCTTTCCATGACTAGGTATGCGATAATGAAGAGTTGCTGGGATGCAGATCCTGTAAAGAGACCAACCTTTAAGCAAGTTGTACAACTGATTGAACAACAGATTTCAGATACTACAAACCATGTAAGTGTTGAGTAGTCTAGGCTGAGTTGCAAAAAGTTTTATTTGACACAGTGTTTGGAAAATGAAACCCCAGACACACCAACATCCTGCATTCAGTTTTAAGTGGTTCCATTTGGTGAAGAGAGTTGTAGAACCCTGGATGGTTTTTAATAATTTCTGAGAAAGTATTGCATTTTGCTATTGTTAAAATCATTGTACGGAAGTATTCGTCCCACTGAGTGAGACAGATTGCTTCTTCATCAGTGGAGAACTTCCTACAGGCTTTAGAAATGTAATGAAGTTTCAAGGCCCCAAGGTTCAGTTATAAGGTTTTGCTACAAAAAGAAATAATAGTAAAAACACTATTATTGTGGAACACTAAAAGCTAATGAATTTATTATGGCATGACCTTTTGTGGCCTGGGATTTATTTCATCATATGCATCATGAAATGTTGTTCTGACCTACAGCTATAAACTGCCTGTTTGATGGGGTGGGAATATAAAGATCAGAGAGAAATAAAAGACAGAATTGACCTCAGAAGTGTATTGGGAAGGCATTGGACTCTCACAAACACTGCGCAAATGACATTTTTCTTCCTAATTTTTTAGCATTATGGAGAATTGGAGATTAAACTCTTTTGAAGTTGTCAAATTCACTGTGACATGAGATTTTTGAACCAAGGTTACTTCATAAAATGACTGTTCAAGTGTGTTAACTTGCCTCAAATACATGCAAAAATGTTGATAGATACTTTGGTGTTACATGTGGCCACTGAGTATTGATTCCGGTTTGCATCTCTTCCAGATTTACTCAAATGTTACAAGCGGCATTTGCAGTCAAGGAAATGGTACAGATCACTCTGCGAGAATCAACTCAGTGGGTAGCAGTGCTTCATTTACTCAGCCTCTCCTCACACATGAAGATGTTTGAAAACAAATTCAGCCAGCCATGATTGGGACTCTGCAGTTTTTAAAACAATGGCTACGAGTTGTTCTCATTTTATTCACTGATACACTGAGAGTAGTAGAAATACTACAAGAATTTCCTTTTTTATTACATGCTGTTAAAAGCAAAGTAGATTGCCCATCATAGTTACAGCATTGTTGCACTGTTTGCTAGAGTCTGTGTATAGTCGCTATGTTATTTGCATTTGTAGTGTAGAAGTGGAAAGTAAACATTAAAATTTGGGAGTGGGGAAGAATGTCTAAAAATGGGATATGGAATTCTTTGAATGCAACATTTTTAAAATGGAGGTCTCAAGAGCACTAACTCTAGAAAATTGTTGGTCCTGTTTGAAAATTTGTAAAGGCAAATGTCTTAAAACAGTTTCCATTACTTCTGAAACTTTGAACCTTAGAAATGTAAGCAAACTTTGACATTCTGGGCCAAATCCAGTGTGAAACTGGTAGTAGCATTGAGATGTTCATTTTTTTCCTCTTGTGACTTGTGAGTTGTCCAGAAATTAGTTTCAAAAGGATTTGCAGCCATGTCAAATAGTTTCTTGAAGGTACTCCAAGGACTAGAGTGAGGAAAGGTTTTTGTAGTCCTCCTAATACTATATTCTGTTTCTGCAAGAGAAAAAAATCCAGGATTGGATTGAGCCCCCAGAATCCAAGACATTACTCACCTGATTAGAAAGGAACAGAAAGACATTGAGCTAATTTTAGATGTTGTTGTATTTCATCTCCCATAAGATATAGCCAGCCCTGCTGGTGTTAAGGAATTATGGCAACTGTAGTCAGGACAACATCCAGAGGGATACAGGTTCCCCAGCTCTGCGCTGAGAGTTTGTCTATAACAGGTCTTGCTTCTGCATTTTCCAGTTGAGGCAGAAGATACATAAGAAGAAGAGAACAGAAGACAATTTCCAAGCTTTTGTTTTGTATGCATGTTGTTGTGTATTCGTTCACTCGCTTCTGACTCTTCATGACCCCATGGGCCAGCCCATGCCAGAGCTCCCTGTCAGCCGTAGCCACCCCCAGCTCCTTCAAAATCAAGCCAGTCACCTCAAGGATACCATCCATCTTGCTCTTGGTCGGCCCCTCTTCCTTTTTCCTTCCATTTCCCCTAGAATCATTGTCTTCTCCAAGCTTTCCTGTCTTCTCATTATGTGGCCAAAGTACTTCATCTTTGCCTCTAATATCCTTTCTTCCAGTGAGCAGTCAGGCTTTATTTCCTGGAGTATGGACTAGTTTGATCTTGTGGTCCAAGACACTCTCAGAATTTTCCTCCAGCACCAGGAACATTTGTATGCACATGTTCCCATTTGTATACACCCTCTCAATATTTTGTGATGTGATAGAGGGGGCCCAATATATTTCTTTTACACCAATTATACACACTGGAAGGTCAACCAGTGCATCTATTTCTAACAGCATATATTGGGGGGGGGGGGGGGGGGGAGAGATACACTGTTACATGGCTAACTTCAAGTTGGAGAACATCCTAGTGGTTCCCAGGTCTGGTGAAGACACATCTGCATGTATCACAACATGTACACCTTGTGTAGCTCTAATATTCTGGTTAGAATAGTCAAATAATTTTCTTACTCTCCTCAAACCATATCTTGGGTACATGAAACTGTGTAAGCTTAATAGAACAAAATCTCCCATGGCCACATTTTCAGAGGAGGATGTTTTCCTGTAGTATTGACTGCTGTATGGATAGAAACATAAATAAAGTAAAATTTTGAAGTTACCAGATGATCAGGCTAGTACAAAATGCAGGCAGGTGGCTTTAGGAGTTACATGTCAATATTACCATATTGTCTATACTCACTTTGGTTTTCTAAAAGCACCTGTCCATCAATAAACAAAAATCTCAAGATCATCTTTTGATTAATAGACTTACGCTAAAATACCTGTATATTTTCAGAACAGCTTCCCTTTAAGACTGTTGTGATTTACACTTAAAATGTAACAACTTCTCTTGTCGGCTTTACATTGATGGATGTAACTGTGTCCAAATGCAATATTATTGAGCAACTGTAGACCTAAATGAAAGTTCCTCTTAAAAATGCACTGCCAGAGGCTTCAAATTATATCCAACATCACTAACTTTTGCTGACCAAGAATTGTGTATTTTACCAGATTATTTGGGGTTAAGGTTCCAAAAATATGCCATCCCTTTCTTAAAAGTAGGCACTTACAATGTAGTCATTTACACTGTTGCACTTTTCAAAAGTTTGCTGAATTTTGTGAGGCATGGCTTGATCCTAGCTCCATGTAAGCAGGGGCTTTCCTTTCTCTCTCTCTCTCTCTCTCTCTCTCTCTCTCTCTCTCGCCCCATAAATAAATGCCTATCATGTTTCTCATTGCACATGCAGATTTTCTTCCTTTCCTGACAATGGAAAGCTCCATGTGTATGATCAGAACTGTGCACTGAATTAGAGTCACTCTGTAACGGTTTTCACTTGCAAAAAATTAGTGTATGATCGTACGAAACAGAGCAAGGAGGATTATGCCAGCCGACAGTGCCCTGAATATTTTTTGAATCAGCTCTGTAAGGTTCTTCATATCTATGCTTCACATGTGCGGATAGGAGCATTGCACAGTTAAGGTTCACAGTTGCATATAAGACATTTTGTGTGTCTAACTGTACACATCCTGGGCCACTTTACACCTCCTGCTGGATACCAAGTAGGGACAGGACCCAGAGGTATGCATCAGTCCCTGTCTTCCACCCACACATTCAGTATATGTATATATTAAAGGTGAGAATATGGCTAGAATGCTTTCTTCCTCCAATCCTACTTATAAGACTATCATAAATAAATACAAAACCTTTTGGCTTTTGCAACTGTAAGAGAAAAAAAAACTTGTAATAATTGTTGACACCATGGTACTTCTTTGGCACTTGGATAGACAGTGTTTTTTCCTATAATCTGAAAAGTTATATTTTTATAATTCTGTTTTTGTTGACTACTTGGTTACAGAGCGGCTTGATAGTTTCAGATTTGTTTTATTGCTCCAATTTTATGTAAATGCTGAAAATGTAGCAATAATGTCTTCTCAGCTCCTTTAGGCTCTTGAGTCTTAAAAAATATTTTTCTATAAATATATAAATAAACTTATATATATATATATATGCACAATGAACGTATGTATAAATATGTGGAAGTCTGAAAGATGTATTGTTGAAGAGTTTAAATAAAAGTGTAAATAGTATACATGAATTTGCAGCTGTTGGCATGGTATATTTCACCAATTACACACTTGATAGAACCAAAATCCCAATCGACGTGTTCTCCCAGATCACACTCGGTTGATGTGATGAAAGAACATTGGAAACAAAGCCATTTAATCGGATTGAGTTTAATGTGGGATGTGTTGTTGTGCCTTATGTATTTGTGTTATTGACGATTATTAATAATGATTTTATAACTTATGTTTTATCTTACTAGCAAACCTCCTTAGAAATATGCCTGTCCCGAAAGGCAGCATCTACATACTTGCATTTACATCTATTTGAATTAAATCAGTTAAAAATAGCTTGCATCCTATTGATTACATACAATGGTGTGGTCAGCTTTATACTATCGCAACCCCACATTTTTGGTTGTTGGACAGGTTATAAGTCCTTACTGACCATAAAACACTCCAGATCTCACCTAAACCCCATCTCTTCTCAGTGGTCTTCCAAATCTGAGCATTTCTTGGTTGGTAGTGAGCGGAGAAGCAGCATACAAGAATCCAGCCATTTTCTTGTGATTGCATACAGATCAATAGCAGCATCTTCAAGGACACCAACTCTAGAATGATAGAATTGGAAAAGATCACAAAAGCCATGCAATCCAACCTCTTGCCAAGCAGAAAAACACAATCTATGGCCCCAACAGATGGCCACCCAGCTTCTGTTTCAAAACCTCCAAAGAATGAGACACCACCACACCCCCAGGTGTCTTACTCCACTGTAGAGCAGCTCTTGCAGTCAGGACATTCGTTCTCATGTTTATGTAGAATCTCTTTTCGTACAATTTTAGCCCATTTGCTCCCTGTCCTCATCTCTAGAGCAGCAGACAGTAAGCTCCCCCCCCCCCAATATGCCATCCTTTCAAATATTTATAAACATGGCATCATATACCCTCTCAATTGGGCACAAGTGCAAGATCGAGCCATAATTAACTTAAAAAATAGAGATTCAAACACTCCCTCTTAAAATGTAAAGATTCAAACACAAATTGAATGAATAATATCAGAAAACCTATAAATCAGTCTAGAAAAAGTATTATTCTATAGAACACGGAAAAAAGGGAGAAAACAAAATATTTAAAATGATGATACAATGATAAAATAGTAAAAAACACAAGGTTTTGCTAACTGCAATAAAGACACAAAATTTGCAAAGTACAAACCCTAAGGAGATCAAATATTTACAACAAACGATGTTAACAGAAACCCTCATGCAGTGGAAGGACTGGGAGTTCTATGAGCAGAAAACCTATGAGCAGCACCACTGCAAAGCGATGCCCCTCACTCTCAAACTTCTTGTTCTCGAAGAAGTTTGGATTGTGCACAACTGAGAAGATAAATAATCTTCTCTCATGATGGAAAAACCGATGGCAGTCATTCTGCTATTAAGTTAGGATGTCTTGAGTCTTTCTTATGACATTGCAACTCACTTTTTCAGTCACTGACAGTTGGAACTCTAAATATGCAATGACCAAGGTTCCCCTAAACTTAGCTTTTAAGCCACATAAACATTTCCAAGTTGCCAGAGTGTATTCATGAGCTATTTTCTTTTAGCAGAGTGTCCTGAAAGGACATCATCTACAAGGGTTTCCCAGGGATGTTTAAAGGTCCCTGCTAGTGCATGTTGCAGCACATTCAGTTTATGGAAAGTAGTTCGACATGTTGCTGCACATCTCCTCACTCTCCAACAACTTAGGTCTTATCTATACTGAACATTTAATGTAGTTCAAAGCTAGCTTCAAACTGCAGTAGCCAGACAAAATCCCACAAAAACGTGCAAAAGCAAGCTCTTCATGCACCTCTGTGCTCTGGTTTGTGTAATCGCCATCTAGGCCTCAGACTGGTTCCAGGATTTCCTGTATAATTATCTGTACAATGAAACCACTTTCTTCAATACCGGTTTGAAACTGCTGGTGTACGAGGGTTGAATGAAAAGTAATGCCTCCACCTTTGTAACTCCTCAACAGATGGCAGTACTGGTATGCAGAAGGTACTGGCTTGTTCAGTAGACTCTCCTCTACAGTTCCATTTTGGTGGGTAGCCTTAGCATTGAATGGGTGTGTTGTTAAAGTGTGAAGTATGGAACTCTGCGCAGACAGTCGGTCAATGCAACTTCAGCAATTCACAGTCATTGAATTCTTGACAGCGGAAGGTGTCACCCCAAAGGACATTCATCAGAGAATGCAAGCTGTTTATGGTGATTGTGTTGATATGAGTACTGTGCCTCATTGGGCGAGTAAGTTTAAAGATGTTGAGGTAGGAACATCTGACTTACGTGACAAACAAAGAGTTGGGTGTCCTGTGACAGCAACCACCGGGTTTCACAAGCAAAAGGTCGACAGATGGATTCAGGATGATCGTTGTATTACTCAAGAGAGAAATTTCAAGCATAATTGGCATTTCACAAGAACGTGTGGGTCACATTATTGCTTTACTTGACTATCGGAAGATCTGTGCACAATGGTTTGCAGAAACAGAGTGTGGACTTCTTCCATGCTGTCTTTAGAAAACTTGTTCATCGTTGGCAGAAATGTATCTAATTGTCTGGTGATTATGTGGAAAAGTGAATAGTGGTAGTTGAAGAGCACATTCTAAGGATTATTTCTGTGTTTGATTTATTAAAATATTCCCATCCAAATCCAAGTAACGAAGGTAGAGGCATTACTTTTCATTCAACCCTCGTAGATGGGGCTCCGATATGGCTGTTTTGGAGGCTGCATGGCTTACAAGGTGGAATGGGGGGGTGAGGGGGGACACCAACAGGAAGTCTAGCTGGGGAGATGTACTGCTAATATTTCAGAAAGCATCTTATCTCACTGATCCATTCAGCTTGACTTGAATCTCACCCCGAGTTTTAAAGAGATCTCTTTGTGCATGGAGGTATTGCGAAACAAAGGACAAATCTATAGTTGTACTAATTCAGATGCCAATTAATGTCCTAATGCCATTTTCTATTGCAAGCAATCAATTACTACTATTAACACGCATTTCATAGTAATCTGCTAGAATTAGGTCAAGCCACTTATAAAGTATGTCAGCTACATGTCATCATTAGAGTGAGAGGGGGAAACACTAAGATATCAAGTTTTAAAACATTGGTGGAAAAGACAGAAGGCATGAAATCAGAAGATTAGTAGCTATGAGACAGGCAGGGAAAAAAACCAGCTGGGAGGAGAATCACACCCAGACAATACAC